GATATATGCAGGGATAGATCGGATATCAATATTTAGAGAAATTTTCCTTGCTCTCATCGGTTTATTGATTTTTTGCACTTTTATGAGTTAGGAGTGAACGAGTAGTAGTAGGCAAGCATACGAGTGCTAATCGTTTGAGAGATTTTGACAGCTTCTCTATTATCGATTTTTTTCCACTCTGAGCTCTCAAAAGCTGCAAATGATACGTTGGGATTTTGGGAACTGGAAACTGCAATCTTGCCTGCCGATGAAACCACCAGTTGTCTTTGTCAGCTTATTCACTTCGGCCAGAGGTAGCCAACTGATGCTAGGGGGGAGCATGCCAACATTTCGGTATATTATAATTGGCAAGGAGCAAGTGAAGCAAGCTTGCCTCTGATAATTGCTCACCTATGCTGAGCGGATAACTCTTCTCTAAGCACCCATTAGACTGCGACAACATTTGCACCTTGCTAAGCAAGAAATATCGCCATGAATAAGAAAGTTAGTACACATCGAAACTTTGGTCATAGTTAGTCCAGTAGATATATAAAACAATTTGAACCTCTCTGCTGTGCTTCGTTTTGCACTTTTCACAAAAATGTTTATTTCAAACCTAAACGTATACTATAAGTGCATCCAATTCCTTTCGCGTAAGGTGTCTCGACGGATGTCAGGTTGATCTTATTTTTCGAACAAGTAGATGTATATTGTGCACGGTTTTAGCGTCATAATCAAATTTTTAAGCAAGGGGCAGCACTGGTTTGGCCTAACAACCCATATAATGGACTTGTCTATGATGAATTAGGAGGGTTGATTTGTCATCATCTAGTGGCAGAAGAGGTTGAAAACTGGTTTTCTAGGACTCGAAACTTTTCGAGAGTGATGAATGATCTCAGAAATAAATTGTATCCGACAATAGGGCCTACTCGAATTGAGTGTTTAGAACAGTTGAGAATTTTCCAGATGCTTGAGCAACAGAATGCGAGTGGAACTGACTGGGTACATGTGGTCGTGGTTGAGGACACCAGCAGGACTGGTCTCGTTCCTTGCTCAATTCTCTTGCCAGGTGAGACATTGCTAGATTTCGTGCGTTGGATTAGAAAAACCTATATGTATCTGCAAAAAACTTCATACGGCTGATATCAAAGTTGTTATTGTTGCTCGAGATTTATCTCAGAGTGCTGATTCTGAACATGTTAGTCGGTCGTTGGACGTGACGACAGTGCTGGAAATCTGTTTCTGAACAAATCATTGTCGATGATTGATGTCTTTTTTTGCCGATGTTAGAGGAAGGGGCAACCAGCTGCGCGTGGGGCATGAGCATCGTATGCTGCAACAGCTCGATCGCGGTCCGCCCCGTGCACACACCTCGCCTGGACGTGATCACGTTCGGCTGGTTATGCGAAATTTGTTGCCATCCCGTGACTGGGGACGAGTTGACCCGAAACCGTACTTGTCCACTGGCACCTGCTTTATTCGCGTTTGCCCAGTGTTCTAATGTCGAGCAATTTAATTGCAATTTGTTCGTCGTCGGCAGGTGTTCTGTCAATATGCATCACGTCCATTGCATGAGACTACGAGACTTTACTGGCGCCTCTCGCTCTTAATCACTTGCTCTCACTAAGAAGCAGATCAGCTAGCCTGCCATCTCCTCGCCGCTTTTCTATCTCGCTTTCTCTCCTCTGTTTACTATGCTAATACTCAATCAGAAAATTACAGCTTGGCGTCAGCATCTCGGTTTGAGGCGTCCTAGTCTTCATTGATATATTTTTTATTCTGCTGGCGCTTTCCAGAATCTTCTAAAAAATGCTCACACTTCATCAACGCAATGAACTTGTAATACCTTCATCATAGGGCTAATATTTAAAAAAAGGGGAAAATTCGCTTGCTTGCGTTCACTTTGTTTACCTTTGTTCATCTTTCAGTGAGCTGCTTGATGACGCATATTTGCAGTTCACCATTCGAATGTGGTCGCCGGTTTGCTCATACCTCTTTTGTTAAGATATATGTATACACCATGTGACAGTTAGTACTAGTTTGGTTTGCACTATCGTTCTATGAGTCATTTCCATTTTTACGCAGTTTGTCTCATTCTGGCGATCTCTTGCTCGCTTATAGAAGTCTCTAAATGCAATGCTTTCGAACTATTTCGTAAAAGAAGCTGAGCCAACGCCGCTGGAAGTCCAGGATGCGTTCAGCTACTGACAGATCGATTATCGAGATCTTTCGCCGCCCTAAGCCCAGCCCGTGTACACATCCGGCGCTTTGCTCTGCTGCGAAAGAAGCATATCACACGACTTTTGCCTCTGGATCTCCCTCCAGCTGCGCTTTCGCTAGTCAGCTTAGAGATTCGTAAAGTGATTATGGATGTTTTTCCCTGTATTCGCTATGGTCTGTTCGCTAACGCATCTAATCTAGAAATTTGTTTGTTTCAATGATCTCCAACTCTTAAAAAATATCTTGAATGCGCTTTTATTTCTTTCTGGTTTCCTCCTTCAAGCGCCAGCTGCCATTTATTGCAGCAAATACTGGATCTTGACTTTATATCTTCCCGGTTTCAGCCAGCGCTGGCGTTCGGCAAATATCGCACTTTCAGTCGAACATATTGGCTGAGCACGGCACCACTTATCCTCGTTCTCTGCACGCTCTTTTCTCTTGATCCGCCTGTCATTAGATTCCTTCCGGATCTCTTATTTGCATTTTCGCCCGTATTTGAAATTCATACCTCCTTCCCATCGGCTTCTTAGAGATGAAACAAATTGGAGTAATCACTGCAATTTTTGCTAGTTGCCTGTCATTTTCCGGTGTCCCCCTTATTCTTTTGTGTGTGTCCATGTGCAGTCAAGAATCATCTTTCATCGCTTCTTCTGTTTCCCTGAGTCTTTACCAGTGGTGCAACTTTTGATATCATTGTGAAAACTTGTGAAGCTGTTTTTGTTTACATTGAGACTTGATAGTAAGAGATTGAAACAACTCTTTTTGCACTTGCATTTTCGCTTCGCAGTATCTCCTTGGGCTTGAGAAAAACATTTTTTGTTGTAGTGCTCAAAATACCACATCCAAAATTTTTAATACTTCCTCTGATACAAGTTCATTTAACCGGGATCACATGAAATGATGAGATCTCGATAAAAGCCAACACGCGCTTTCTATTAATCCGCATTCCGTATGCGTCTTAACAAAATTGTCCAATCTGCATGAAATATCCGCCGTATTGCCATATGGGAAAATGGAGAAGAACGATGTACCTTTGCTTTCCCATAACATAGGCAGTATGAGGTATCTACAAAATTGCTACTGCTTTGACGTCAAACGGATTGAGCTCAGGCTCACAGTATCTCCAAGCATTATTTTGGAATGATACAGTTTTTCTGACTTTCGCAATCGTGTTTCATGTCCAAGCTTCGAATCTTTCAATGTGTAAGCGTTTGCCTTTGCACCCGATTAGGCTAATGCATTTGCACTATATTCTGACGTGGCGGAATGTTATGTATAATTTCCTGGGACGAAAATCTGCGGAGAAGCTGTTAGAATCAATTTTGAATCTTTCTTTGTTTATTTATGCCTATCGTCTTGTTCGTCTTTCCCACTGCCGTTTCAATGTTGTCTTCGTATCGGATTGCCGCACTTGGAGATTTTCGCATTATATTATTAACCCACTTTCTGCTTTTAGCAGCGTTTTACAAGTTTATATTTCCTCTCTTACATAGAAAATATCGATAACTTTTCGCATTGTGAACAGAAATATAAAGTCTGACCAGTTTTGAAGGGGAGTTCTTATTGCCCCGGCAAAAATTTCTGGATGAATATTTCAGAATGAGTTAAGTTGTTGGAAATGAAGCAGTAATAATAATATAAATATCTAATTTAATTAATATAACTAATACGAGGAAATGAACTCTGATCGCGCTATGTTTGAGTACATGTTAGGGCGCAGCAAAAAAAGTTTCACGATTTAGTGGTATATTATTATCGATAACTGTGCCGGATCTAGGGGGATAAGTTATCAAAACATGATAATATATTTCCCTTAACTATCATGAATCTGAGGTTTTCAAATAATCTTCTGTGTAACATTTTTGCTGAAAAGGCTAATATTCTTTTTGCGCATCCAACGGTTTGAATTCAAACTTTTTCTTTCACAAGTCTTTTGGAAATCTTCTCTTTTTTACGAGAAAAAGCTGTGCGCCTTTATTTATGCGCATTTCATTCCAACTAACATTTTGACCCGTACATAATTGTATTGTTGTGGTCTTGCAGGGAAACGTAGAAAATTTGAATACATCTTAGCAATATCCATGTGCTAATGCTGCATCACGCTTGCGCTGGTTCAGGATCTGACAAATTTTGAAAAACTGGGCCAATAAATGGGGACATCCATCTTTGGGAAAGAAAAATAGAGAAGGAAGGCTGCGAAATTGGATTGTACTCAGTCAAAAGCACATTTAAACAAACTTTGAATAATCATATGTAAATATTCATACATTTTTTGATACAATGTTTAGCTGCTTTGATGATCCGTCTAAATCATGTGTTAGTTCGTATGAGCTAATAGTTTTCATATTTTACTGTAACTTTCCATCTGATTGGCGAGTATTCTAATTCATTTCCAATTTTCTTATACTTCTTATTCTAATATCAAATGAAAATGACTCATCTGTGTGACTGGTTATTCCTGCCCATAGCATCTTTGTGGGAAGTTTCAAAGTTTTTTCCTACGATGTTCCAAATTTAAGCGAAGAAAATCGCCATTAATCATTAACATTTCCAAGATTTACGACCGATTTCCCATTGTATGCGCAAATGTAATGGCGATGCAACAACAGTATATGACCGTCAGATCTAATAAATTTACAAAAAGTTGTCATAGCTCAAAGTTGAGGTTCCAAGCTTGATATATTTATGGCATCTGCAAAAGAGAAAGATTTGACTTCCAAGTGCGGTGACTCGTCTTTTCGTGATTTTCGCGATATTGTCGTGTCGCAATCCCTTGTATCTACCCATATCCTTGTTCTTATAGCCGCAGTGCGGGGATTTGAATACATCTTCCAACGTATTGTATGTCAATATGTCGCGTTCACGCCATGGTCCTGACTCCCCGGTCGTGGACGACCCACACAAATCAAAAGAAGGCAGCGGAAGTCGCAAAAAGCGATGGTCGTTTGCGTTTCGGAGACGCTGGTTTTCAACATCTTCACGAGATTCTAAAGATAATCTCGGCTCGCCAAGTGATAGACCGACGTCACCGACGGAGACGTGCAGTGCAGCTGGTGTACTGATGTCACCCCGCCAGACAACGCTCGGCTCAACATGGCATTCAGGTCTTTGGAGCTTCTCTTTTTGAAGATACTGTTTCAGTTAGTTTAGTGCTGGTGAACTGCGAAAAGAAGTTCTCTTTTTTGAAGCAATGTTTTTGCAGAGATCGATCCCATGTAAAAGTTCCATTGTTTGGAATCTTTTTTTCCACTCCATATATATATGCGCTAATTGCGTGTAAACATATCCCATTTTTATATGAGTAAAAACAGAATCTGCATGTCCTTGAGCTTGAGTACATCATCTGCACTTTGAAGGTACAAGACCACGCGTTATTGCTGTTTGAAAATCGGAGTTTCTAGCGGTTACATGTTTTTACAAAGTATTGAGATCAACAAGATTGTTGTATGCCATGCCTGAGATGGATTTTATAAATCAAAATCTTTTATGAGTTGAGTATTGAGTATGAGCAAAAATGCCTCATTTACCGCTGTAAGAGACGGAAGTCTTGATCGTTTGATGATTTGCAACCACTCGCTAGGCAATCCATTGAATGTCGTAATGCCATTAATTTGCCCATCCATCGGCCCTAACATGGGAAAAAAGAGAAGAATAATGTGGCTGGAGTTTGGAACATCGAAGAATTATTCTATAGAAACAGAAAGGGAAAAGAGATGTTTTTACAAGTACAATAATCATAAACAATCACATGAAACGAGAGCCTTTTGCTCCCTTTAGCTTGTCTTTAATTTTCTATCACAGGCTGCGGCACTTCGTTTTCTCTGTTGTTGCCGTTTACACCCATTTTCACACATTTCCTTACCTCAAGAGATGGCTTCATACCTTACATAATTTGTTTTGCAGACTTTCTCACCCAGGATTTATGTTTTGAGAAGTAAAATATTGAAAATCTTTTCAATACGAACTGCTTGTAGCTTGCATAGAATAACAGTCCTATGCAAATAGTTGAGCATACTGTTCCCATCGTATTTCAGCCATAGTAACGGCATTGTCATATCTCGATGAGATGCGTGTTCGAAATGTCAATAATTCAGAAGTACTCTATCAAGATACTCTAAACATGAACTCAACTTGACAGCCTATATGCATTAAGTCAGTCTTATAACAGAGGCTCTAAATAGGTGAAGCCTTAGGGCAAGCATTTTTTAAAGGACAAAAGAGGAAAAAATTCTACCTACTCATTCTACGCGTACATGTTTTTGTTTTTCAGACGCTCCATCATCCTCCTGTACCGATCGACCAGACACTGGAAGTTCGGGTAGCGTTATCAAGAGAAAATCGTTGAGGTAAGAGCTTTGTGATTCTCTTTATCTTTTTATCGTACTTACTCGATTATCAATCCTTGTGGTTTGCGTTTGCTCAACGCATATGGGCTGCTCATTTGTCATGCATATTTCTCATATCTTTATGCACTTTTCAACAGTGTTCATGCTTAGCGTTTCAATACCTGCGTTATCCAAAGTGGGTTTTAGTCTCTGTGGTCTCCATTTCGAAGACCGCTCGTTGTTGATATCCAAAGTGGGTTCTGGTCTTTGTGGTACCATTTCGAAGCTTTGATCTCTCGTTGTTGGTTGTCATCGGAACAGAATGTGGGACATCTGATCTGCGTTGCCTCTGTAGCTGTTTCAGTGTTTGAAATCTTACTTCTGACTGCGCATCTTCATGAGGTCCAACAATGCACAGATTTGCGTTCTCGATCGAATTTTGGGATAATTTGCTAGAGGGAGCCTTAATGATGTCTGCGAAATTACATAACAAGAGAACTTGCTTACAAACTTGATTTCGCTACGAAAAACCTGTTCTGCTATCTTTTGTCGCCATGGCACATCGATGCACAAAGTGGAAAAAGACGGTAATTTTTTTGTTTATTGCTTTCATTACGTGCAAAGACGTTGAAGACGGTAGAAATGTCATGATTTGATACGCCATTGACTACTCAATCCGTTGTGAACTTATGGGCGAAGCTTTTGCATCAAGAAAAAATTTATTGCGACAAGTTCCCCACTAGCTTGGTGATTGAAGAAATGAAATCGGAGAAGTTTTTCTTTATCGGGACTTCCTATGGGAATAAAGTCAGAAAAAGAGTGACTGAACACTGCCTTCATAAGCAGCGGTGCCACCCTCTTTCAACACCAACCTCGACATGTCGGTGATGTATAGAAAATAAATGTTGGTTGGTTATGAATCTTCAAGTTCGTGAAGCATGTTATTTGGATCTATCGGAAAGCGTGCTAATAATATGGGCATGTGTTATCCATATGAGAGTGCTGCATGCGGAAAATGGTTTTCGTTTGATTTGCTGACAGACTAGCATCAGATCGGTAATGCTCGTAATGTTCATACATTCGTTCATACGTACATGTTTATACATTTGTGGATTGATGAGCTCTTTAGCGCTCACTGTGCTTGATGAAGCATGACATTTGCAAAGGTCGAAGTCTGCTGAATTTGGTCTTATGTGTAGCTCCCTTCTCCCTCTCGAAGCATAGGATTACGATTGTGAACAACAATCTACTTCTTCACTTATGTTTCGTTGAACATCGAGTCCGTTTTGTCCATTTGACGCCTTTTCGTGACCTAGCTTACAGAACTAATCAGGCGTATGAAAGCTAAGGGAACGCATTCACCCGAGGTTCTAATTGGCTGTGTAACTCAGAGGACAAGTTTTGCATTCTCAAAGACTAGGGATATTAGTGTCGCATTGAAAAGGAGAATTCTTTCAAAACGCGTGGCAAGAGTTTCTGATTTACGTGAACTTCCTACAGCATGTTATAAAGTTTTCATCTGAAAAGTTGAAAATATTTCAAAATCATGGTTATTAGTACGGAAGTCTGAACAGCTCGAATTTTTCTTTGGTGGAATAACGAGGTCATCAAACCAAATCATATCTAAATTCAGATCTCACTAGACGTTTTAGCAAGTTCAGCGAGCAAAATTCATAACGTTGAATTTTGAGGGTTTCTCTTGAGCTTTTATCTTTGCGTTTTGTCAACAAGGTTTTATAAGCCAACCTCCTAGAAAGCGCAAGGTTTTTTCGTGTGTGTAAAATCCAGATGATCCATTTGGAGTTAGAGATAGCGAAATTTCAGACGCTGCAAGATTTTATCGACCTAATATTAGATCAGAATAAAATTTACTAGTATGCATGAAGCATCGTGAGAAGAATACCTTTACTTTGTCTGCATTGGCGTGGGTGGCGTGCATTTGGCGATTTTCGGCTAATTCACCTCATCACACTATGTGTCGAAGATATATTTGACTTGCCAAGGTATAACATATATTGGGTTGTCCAAAAGTCATTTCTAAATAAATTGAGCCCTTTAGTTTTCCTAGCAGTCGTAAGGTATCATTCGACAGAGCAAAGCAAGCTCTGCATGATGAACACCAAAGGTCCACTCAAGATTGATCTAAGTGAAGTTTGGAGCCAAAATTGAAAAAGATTTTATCACCTTAAAATTGATTTTTGCGGAAAAAATTCTACACCAAATTACATTATGCAGTAGACGCATGGCATATCCAAACATGCCTTTTTTGCCTGGATTTTTTCCGCGCGTAGACTAGGAAACAATAGGAAATGGCAAACTCCGCCTCCAGCCCCTCCCGCATCTTTGTAAAATACAAGCCTTATCAAGTATAACTTTGAATTTTTATTTCTGTATGCGTTCTGGTAATCGAGAAATTCCAGTTTCAACATGAAACCTCGAAAAAGCGACGTTTTGCATTTTCGGGCTATTGTGATTCCTCAATTTGAGCCCCCGAAAAAATCCTCCGAATACATTTTTGGGACTATTATGTGTGTCTACTGCATACCAAGTCAGAGGTCCGTTGAAATTTTTTGGGAGGGGATCCGATATCTTTAGTTGAAAAAAATTTTGATTTTCTGCCATCAAATTTTACCTGGATTTAGGCGGACCTTTGGCGGGCGTTTTCTTAGGCTTGCTTCGCTCTATCGCATGATACGCTTAGTCTGCTAGCTAAACAACAACCTTGATTCATTCAAAAATAGGAATCTACTCTTGGAACAACCTGATAAATACGCTGAATGTCGAGGAAGTAGGCGTCAGTCCCCATATCTATTCGATTTCTGTAGGGTTAAGAAGGAAAACAATAGCTGATTTCTTTTTTTGTGTTGCCAAGGAAACAACAGCCAGTAGTTGAAGTTTTGCAGAAATCAGAGGTTTCGTACAAAAAAAGTGTGCGTTTATCAATGATTATGTATACTTCATGTGTTTATTACTTCTTTGTCATCCTTTTTTGCCATTGTGAGCGTAAACGAAGTTAATAGTAGCTGAATCCGTTTTGCTGCTATTTATCAGTATTTTTTGGGATAAATGAAAAAGAAGGAAGAAGTTGAGGAAGGAGGGGGGAAAAGTAGAAGAGAGACAATTTGGATTTTGTTTTCACTTAGAGGGTTACAAAAGAGAATGGGAAATTTTGGTGAAAAAAACGGTGAAAGTTTTGGAATTGCCCTACATAGGTTATATGTGCAAGTTTCATGTGTATGTGATTTGTTTGCACTTAGAAAAGAAATGATTTTTGAAAAATTTTGAACAACTTAAAACCGTAAAAAAATTTTTCGCAAAATAATGGGGCGCAGTCACGCGAAAGCCTTGAGCTTCTCATAGAATCATTCAAGAAGTTGTTGTGTTCTCTGAAAAAAAATTTTCTCGTGCCACCCCTCCTATTCTCCTTTTCGTACAGTCACTGCTGAGAACAGTAAATGTTAATGCTGAATAGCACGAAAATATACAAAAAATAGAAACCCTTCGTCATTCAGTCTTGTTGAAGCATAAAAGAAGCATAAGATCTAGCAGAAGGAGCAATGCCAAGTTAAAAGAAAAGTTAAAAGAGCGCACATGCCACCCACGTTAATAAGCAAGGATTCGTACAATTCTTGGCAATTGCAGAACTAACTATCCATAGATTTATTTTCGATTTTTGCATTCGTGACCGATTCTTCAGACTGTATCGGCCGGTTAATTTTGTCATAAAACCTGTTTCCTTATGAGGTTAGCGCGTCTGAAGCAGGCTGTAAAGTCTTGCGCACGGCGTTTACCCCTTTTACCCCTCCGGTTATCGAATGACACTCGTCGGTTTCCTTATTTAGCCCAGTATCCTTGTCCTTCGTGAGACTTCGAGCGTTAATTCCTGCAGCGGCAGTCGAACAGGCGATGACGTAATCGTGTGCACAAACTCGTTTGCGATGATTGCGTGCCCTGCGCTGTCATCTTCGTGCCGATCGATTTATATGATCGCTGTTTCTCTTCGTCCGAGTCCCGTGTTCCTCTTCTTCTTCTTCACGTTAAACATCTTATTGTTCTCTCATCTGTGCACGCCCGACTCCTGTGCAATTGATGCCCAAATGTTGCCATGGAATCGCGATCGTACGGTAATTTACTTTTCTCCTTTCAGCTTTCGCTTTTTCTTGTTACTAATCACTAGAGATTATCATGCTTTTATCAGATCGTTACATGAGCTTTGTTACACTTTCTTCGTCATCCTTTGAAACCTCTAATATTCTGCAAAGCCTCCTATCTTGCATATTTCGGAAAGGGATGAAGAACTATCCATCGGCCTTGTTTTTGCTTTCACGGACTTGAATTACTTTGAATATAAAGGCAATTCTCTAATGCCTTGGCCATACTTCGCGCGATTTGAGGCGCCACGCGTTTTGGCGATTTGTCAGATGTCTTCAAATCCACTTATAAAAACTCTACGTATACGTATTTGTGCATAACTTTGTGAGTCGATGAAATGACTCAAATTTTGTATACCCATTCGATTACGATGAACTATAAACATATGGAGCATTGCCAAGGTAGCGACTCTCGCGCGAGATTTCGCCAGGGCTAACGGCGCTCTAATACCCATTGCTTGGCCTCATCATTCTGCACTTTTCTCATTCTTTTTTTGTGGTCTATTAAGAATTTTTATGGCTTTCGTGAACATCAAGTAGTAAACAAGGGCAGTTCGAAGGTTTAAGTTCTTCAACAACGCAAGTTGGGAATTTGCTCAAAAATATTCGGAAAAATTTCGAAAATTCAAAATTTGGTTATTCATGTGTGACATGTGTATAACGAAAGTCCCCAACCTTTCACATAATTTGGAAATGAGGAAAAACCTTTTGAGAAGGTATCAGATCCATAAAGTGTAACAAAATTCTTGTAACGACTCAATACTTGCTAATCGCTAAGGATTATCATGCTTTTGATAAGTGTCTTATCAGCCTATTTGAAAAAAAAAATGTGACTTTCCAATAGTGAGTAGTATCTTACAACCATCACAAGCGAACTCTTATCATAGCCTTAGCATCTTGTTTTTGCAATGTTGTGTGTTTTGCCATGCTTCTGTTATTCAAATGTCTTCCTCTTGGCCAAAATTTTGTTTGCTGTCGCATAGTATTGAAGGGAGTGTTGATAGAAATTCTGTGCATCTCTTCGCTATATGCACAGTTCAAGCTTACGAAGTATTTTCATGTTGTGCAAGTACTGAACTTTTGCGTTGAAATAGAAGTTCTTGACCCTCATTTCTTTACATTTATAATTTTATCACGTTTGTTTTCCATTTGTTTTCAAATTCAAAAAGAATTTTTTCATTTCCTTTCAAAATCTAGAGCCTTGTAGGCTATTCACTGTATCTGAAGAGGATACAATATTTTTAGTGAAATTACCATCATGTTCTTTTTATTTTGCTCCTGATAGGCTCGAAAAGAGGGAGTAAGGCGAAGACATTTTGGTCGGTTTTTCGTTTGCTGTTCAGCTGTGATTTTGCTGTCAACATGTACTTAGTCTGTGATTCATAACAGTTTGGCATTTTGATCGTAATCATGCTCTCACTGCTCACTTTATGAAAATTTGTAATGGTATTCGACACCATATAACCAGTTCCAACGTCGATATAGCGAACGCTCGTTTTAAAGTGTGAGATTGATACGGAGACAACGTTTCTCATCGAATAGTTAAATTGAAACGAGCATGAAAAACGTTCTTTAATCTTTTAGAGAAATGTTTCCTGAAAGACCCAAGTTTATAGTATCCTGTAAGTTTACAAATGGTGGCTACGGTATCTGCGGTTTCAAGTAAACTTTTGAGATCTTCCATTTTTTTTCTGTTCTGCCTAATTTCAGTTCACTGATCATTTTCCTTTTGGATTCGAAGAATTCTAGGCATATACTCACACAGGAGGTGGCCTCATGAGTGACGAGCTATGAAAGATTCATTTTCTAACTTTTTTTCGTGCTATTTTGTCTTGGTATAATATTGGTCATTTCCTTTCACAATTTCAATCTTACTATCCCGAACTCTGATTAGAATTTAGCATTGTGTGAGTTAATTCTAAAAATATTGATTTGAGTGTTTTCTTTATCAAGCAAATTTTATCTATTGTCAGCAAGCTTTTTTGGTACAAGCGTTGCTCATCTCTTCTTTTTTTGAAACGTGTTAAATAGAAACTTTTGAAAGCATCAGATGAAGTGCCGCTCGCATCTTAAAGAATTTTCGGAAGAGTAGATGCTGTAGAGTTGGCGTACCTTCTGAATCTGACCCAGAAGAGGTCATGCGGATTTTATTCTGTCAGACAGAAACGTGTTTGCATTTGAAGTTCTGTGCAAAGTTTTGAGCATTTCTTTTACATTTCTTGTAATCACCTCATAGCGTTTGGTACAATAAGCTTTATTTCCGACTTTCGAGGAGCTAAAAATTTTTTCCCTGGAAATTGTGTTATGTGAATCTAGGAAATTTCGATAGTCATGAATTAATTTAGAGTTAAAGATGAGTTCCCGCGAGGGTCAAAAATTAATTTGCTTTTCTGTGACTTCCGCAGCCGTATATCGCATGACTCACAATCATATGAAGCTGCACAGTCGCAATTGCGTCATCTGTCTCTTATCCCGCACATTGCCACTTCCGATTATCAAATTTTTTGGTCCATAATCTAGAAGTAGAAGGAGGTTACTTCATTTTCGGACGTGTCCAAATAGTTGCTTTTGATAGAAATTCATAAAATAATCTTGTTGAGGGAAAGACTTTTGTGCCTTTTCCACAGAGTGTGTTTTACTTTGTATATGATAACTCCACTGTAAAAATCTCGAGAATGTCTCTGTTGAAGGCAGAATGCCCTGGAAGGTATTCTCTAGCTTACCACAAGTTTGCAAATTGAGTTTTCTTCGATAATTCTCAGAAGATGCTAGATTTTGAGCTGAGCCAAACAAACTCATGCAAATGCGAGGCTAGTTCTGCAAATTCCCACTCATTTGATTTGCAGAGATATTCGTGAAGACTTGGCATTTTTATCTCGATAAACTATATCTTCCTCAGCAATCGGATGTCAATTAAATGCACCCCCGCTGAAGGTGATGTCATAGTTGAGCCAAATATAGGAATCGGAAGCAGAGAAGGTTTTTTCTCTCGTAGAACCTACTTTGACGCATCATAATTTCCATATTACAGGTTTTCATATGGGGTGAAACTGATCTGTTAATAAGCTAAAAGCCACTACTTTCATAGCGCACTCAAATAACCAAACCCACCTTTCTTAGCAAAATTTCGAATGAATTTGAGTACAGTTGTCTAGTTATTCTAGACCTGCGTGCATGGCTCATCTGAAGTGAACATAATTTTCTTTCGTATACTAAATGCCTTGTAACTTTCTCAAAAACCAGTCATAAAGTGCTTTTGTTACACTCTTACTACAGGAAAAAGTTCCCCAGGTTAACTTTTCTGTCCACCTTTTTGTAGGCGGAAAATGTTGTGGTGATCCTTGTTCAAGCTTTATCTCCTCATTTTGAAGGGCTGCCAAGAAAATGTTGAAGCGTTCATTATTTGAACCACTCTTGAGATCGCGTTTCAGAAGACTCTATTCTTTGAACTTTGGGTTTAGGGCAGAATATCAAGGATGGGAAAATTTTGTCCCGTCATTTCCCTTGGAACACTTGAACTTCCTAATAGTTCACGACAGAAACTAAAGCAAACACGCGCAAGGAAGTGCAAGGAAGTTTTGGTGTAATTTTGTTGAAAAAGCATTATGGAATGCTTTGGGAGCACATGCTCCCTTTTTGGACCAATGTTATACTTTTGCGGTAGTCCTATAATGCCATTTTCTCATAGGTCATTTTCTGAAACACCAACGAGCTACTTCATATTCACTTTCTCTTACCCTCTAATGGTAGAGCACTAGTAGTTTCTCGTTCTCGCCTTTCTGCCTCATGTACTCACTTATGGATGAACTGGGTGCAGTAATTGTCACTGCTCTAACCTGCGATTATGTTTACGATGAATTTCATTTGTCGCAGCAACCAAATCGTGGAGTGCCAACCTCAGTGCCGGCAAAATCGATCTGCAAAGGCGCTCGTTCGTCTTTATTAAAAAACGCTCTCTCTGTAATCGGATGGGAGCGCACTCTACTTCTAATTCCCTCCATAATGAGCACTATGCCTAGAGAAGCTTGCCCATGTGTGTCTGTTATTTCACTTGATGCAATGCGTGCAGCCGTGAATATAACAACTGACATACACAAAGCGTACAAGTCGTTGACAGATTTGGCAGCGCGCGACATGCTGGTGTTTTTGTGTTGAAGTCGAGTCACGGGAGCAGATTCATTCGATTTGCGCAAGTTACGTTTTTGTTATTTGGGAGTTGGTCGCTGAAAAAGCGGCTTATCGCGGTTTCGCTTGTTGCCTTCGCAACTTGCGCAGCAATACTTCAGCGATAACTCGTTCTCCCGGTGCAGCCGCCCCTGTGATTGGGCCTGTCCGGCCGCTTGCACACCGGACTCGCATGACGTCGTCGCACTCAGCTTTGCAGCTCCGTGAACACATACATCAATGGAGCTGTTTATTTTTGAGAAACCATTAGATGAGGCTGCGAGTGCGGCGAACAGATCGCCGCGAAGGCCTGCCACTGCCTCGCATCGATCGCCGCCGGAGGCGACGCAGCTCAGACGGAGCCCGGCGGAGGCTCGCAGCCACGGTTAATAGGCTTCCCTGTGGGCGGCGCTTCACTGTTCCTTTCGTCCTCTTCGCCCCTCAACTCGACACCTCCAAATTTTCCTACCCATCATCTCCATTTGTGGGCCAGTACATCGCTTCGAGTATCGCGTCTCCTGCCTTAACATATCACAACATAACGCTACGCGGCATCTAACTCCACTTGAACTTCCGAAATCTCAAAAATTCTCTCAGCATTATGATTACAGGCGAATTTTCGGTAGTTCGAATCCATCGAAGGACCATCACCATCATCATCATTCGTCATCGAGCCCCACGAGAAGGAAGAGATTGAGCGAAGTGAGTAAAAGTTTGATTTTCCTAGATGAGCGAACCTTTCCTCGTGCAGTCGTGTACCTGGGTTGAAGCTTATTTTCGCTTCATTTTTGAGAGATTTTACTACTCGTGTTCAATAATAACGATTTCAACTCAGATTTGCAGAAACATCATTAGCTGAAGGTCTATATTTGACATTTACGGAACTTATTCTGAAAAGAATAAACGAGAACGCTGTTCTGTAATTAACAAATCAAACGTTGTGCATCAAACGTCATTATATCATCTCAAATTTACAATTTACAGCTTTTTTTTCATGCATAATTCGTACCTTTCAGTTCGTCTTTCTTTTTCTCAAAAGTTAGACTTTATTATTTGAATGAGAATTTATAGGAAGTCCCTCGTTCGGTGCTATCTGGCTGTGACGCTAATTCGACGATTCCCAGTGCCTGCACTGCTGCCGCTCAGGACACAGTATTGGACGGAGTTCTTTCGCTTGAAGCGGAATCTAATTGCACTGCTTCCGTAGACGAAGGCCTGCCGCCTCCCATGGATGAGATTACACTGAATAATTCGCACATGGTGAGTCATCATCACATGCAGTTTTCATCTACAAAAAATTTTACGCTCTCGAGACCCTTGTCGGCAGCTGGTTCACAATCCATTCACGCGCATCATTCGGTATCCTCAGGGGTGCCATGCGGTAATATGATTCGGGTGGCTCAGCCTCGTTTCGCTCGTTTCTTTCGCTGCCTTGCACAAAAACTCGACAATAGCGAAGCATCTAGGCCGCAGAAAGCCAGCAGTATCAAGAAAATTGTCGCTAATCTACAGAAAAGGATAAATCTTTCTTTATTTGCCTGCGATTTTGAGGCTAATCTATAGGTTTTATACATTCTTGAGATTGGCTTGGATTAATCAGCTATGCTCCTCCAGAATAAGTGAAATAAGTAAAATTAAGTAAAATATCTTGGCATCATAGAGCTGGTGGTTGCTTGTGTTTATCATTTTTAAGTCTTAGCGTCTATGGTAATATGTATTTACGGTATTCGATTAATCTCATTTTCGTCTTTCCTCTTATAAGTCAACATTTTTTCATAATGCAAGAGGTGTAAAGTATATGTATATGTGTGCAATATATTCTGTGCAAGTAAGAATTCCTTTAGCTCTGCGTTCTGTTTGGGATTGCTTCAAGCTGAGGACTATGTGAATTGTCTGCCATGCTCTAAAACAATTTCAAAAAAAGTAGCGCTCGTCTCGTTTTTTGCTGAGACCGCCTCTGCTATTTCTCTTTCTTGACATCGAATTCTCTTCGCTGGTGTATTCATGCTCGTACACATCCGTCTTTGTGCGGATTGTGATTTTTCTTTTTTTTTCATTTTCATTTTGTCATCGAGTAAGCGAATTGTTCAGACTTGCATAAAACTCATCGAAGTCATTCTATCTAATCACGCTTCGATGATAGAAATTTCCTTGTCCCCTTCGCAAGCTGCTTTTTTCTGCAAAATGTAGATTAGTCTGACCTCAAACTTACGACCCATATCGTCGCTAACTGCTCCGTTTGACGTCATCACTTCGTGGAAATAGTCCCTTCAAAACTAGATCTGCAATGCAATAAAAACTACTTTGTGAGGGCAATCATTTATGCAGCTGCTAACTTATTGCCATTCTAAGCTGCTTTTTCTCTTCGCCGTGGGATTTATCAAATTCTCTTCGTTTTCTTGCCGACGGCAATATAAGATGAAATCCTAACATTATCGCTTTCAAGAATGAGGAGGCGACACAAGAAACGAACATGGCAGAAATGAGGGATAGTGTAGAGGAGGAAGCAACTCCAGAAAAGCAGGAAAAAACCCCAGAAGAGATGGCTCGTCTCAAACGACAGTGAGTTTGGCATAGATTGTTTGCAAATTGGGCGTAAATGCAGCTATTTTAGTTACGTGCTCATGGAATTGGTGGAGACTGAGAAAGATTACGTCAGAGATCTTGCTTCTGTCGTCGAAGGTTACATTGCAAATCTAGAAAAAATGAATCTACCCGATGATCTTGTTGGGAAAGACAAAATTATATTCGCTAACATAGCGCAAATACTTGAATTTCATAAGAAGTAAGTGTTTGAAGCTTTCTATCTTTGCGTTCGTTTCCCTAATGTTTTCTTTGCAGCATTTTCTTGAAGGAGATCGAAAAGTGCCTTGATAATTACGAAGTTGCCGGAAGTGCCTTTGTCAAATATGTGAGTTCAGCTTCATTTCTTCCCACTGGGCCGATAGTTTTACTGGAGAATATTAGGGCACTTTTGATCAGCACTTATCTGATTTTCGCAACAGTGGAACATTTGCCTCCAAGGAAATCCTAACTTTTGCAGAAAGGAAGACTGGAGACTATGTACGTTCGATATTGCCAAAATAAGCCAAAATCGGATTATCTCGTGTCTCAGGAGGATTTTGAACAGGTTAGTTAGCTTGCTCTCTGAAGGTATGCATCCTTATATTTTGATGTTTCTAGTTCTTCGCCGAGACGAAAGCGAAATTAGGTCATAAAGTAGCGTTGAGCGATTTACTTATAAAGCCGGTACAGCGTATTATGAAGTACCAACTACTGCTGAAGGATATTTTGAAATTTACCGAAAGAGCCAAGGACAAAACGGAGATACTAAAAAAGGCACTTGCGGTAGGTATCAGTTGCTGCCTTGCAAAGAAACTGAACGAAAAAAAATTTGCAGGTTATGCATGTTGTGCCGAAAGCATGTGATGATATGATGCAAGTTGGTAGACTACAGAACTTTGATGGAAATCTCAACGCGCAAGGGAAGCTTATCTTCCAAGTGAGTACCATATATCTCATATTATTATCGCTCAGAAGTATTCCGCACTTTTAGGGCACACTTCCTATATCTGATAGTCAAGGCGGAACATCGCAGAAGTCGAAAGACCGTCGAATCTTCTTATTTGAGCAGTCTGTCATCATTGCGGATCATATACCACCCAAAAAAGAGTTCGGAAATCCTATCTACATTTTTAAGAACCAGATTATGGTAAGATCCCTAAGCTAGTCCTTATCGTTTGCTCAGAAAGCTATTTTAGGTAAACAAAATGCTTTTCGAACCCTCTGTGGCAGATGATCCTTTAAAGTTCATCATTCGCAGTTCGGATCCAGCACAACCGACGTCGTTCATTGCCACTGCTCAAACCCAGGATGAAAAGGTTTGGTGTTGTAATTTCGAGGAAAATGGAATCAGTAACACTAATGTTTAGAATGAATGGGTACGTTACATTAGCGAACAGCTCGACCAGCAAAAACGTATGCTAGCCGCACTGGTGGATCCGCGACGATTTATGGGAGGAGCAACGGACGATTTGAGTGGGGCTATGTCAGGATTGGGAATGTGAGCTCTTGGTTTTTTTTTCTAAATATAAAAGTCAATCGCAAATCGATTGTGCGCTCTTTATTTTATCCAGACATATGTTGGTTATCCATAGTCGTGCCTAAAAATGTTCGGTAGCTACAGTATTTAGTAAAGGGACCAGTATTCTGGATATTGAAGGAAGGACAAGTACATGGATACTGCCAGTGGGATTCAAAGAAAGGGAATCTTCTTCAAAGAGCTCTGGAAACATGACATCATATAGCTGGGAGGCTCGCCTTTGTTAGACGAGCAGGAGCCTCTTGTGCTTTTTTATTCTGCCTAGCAACAGCTAAGTAGCTTCTAACTATGTTTTTCTTTTCTTCGACAGAGATAACGGAGAATTGAATTGCAATGACCGGGTGTCATTTTGCTAATTATCATTATGTGTATTTATCATCGAAATTACTGTAGGCTCTTTTTTGGTACTGGCATGCAGTTTTGATGCTCACCCTTCATCTCATTCAGTTGACGCTGTGCGGCGATCAAGTTCTAATTTATATGGGAATAAATCCACTAAGGATTGACCGAACTGATTAGACTGAACAATGTTTACGACCAGAGATAATTCACCATGAGTAATAGCTTAGTAGGGAGTCCGTGGCAATTTCCTATCTTTTTTCCACTCTTTCCAATAGCGCAAGGAAATGGCAATGCGCTTTACTCTAGTGCCACATCGCTCCATCTGTGTCCATATGAGTAGCAACGATTGTCATGTGTCGTTTTTGTCGGCATGAAACTGCGCAAACTTTTTGTTTAATGTACCAAAAGGGCGAAGTAGTTGGATTGTGTAATTGAACAGCTGAATGTTTGTAGGGGTGCTGATGGAAAGAAGTCGCCTTCCACGACGGGTGCAGGAGCTGCCACCACAGGGACGTCCCGATTTGGATCGAGCACGTCAAAATCCACGCATCAGAAGCCAGAATCGCCAAAGAAAGAGAGCAAAGGGAAGCTGTTCGGATTCGGGAAGAAAGCGTCGGCTAAGTCACCCACATCTCCGCCACCGGTAGGCAAGTTGAAGTAGTTGCGAAAGCTGTAATGCGCTCTAATGCTGTTCTGCCAGTCAATATCACTCCTAGTCCTGGCCATATCTCGTCTACCCACCTAGTTCGCCACCCCGTACCCGTTCTTTGCATCTTCCCCCTTTTTGAGCAGTGTTCATCATCTCGCCCGTACCAGTGCTAGTGCCCGACTTGTCCTTGATAGGCCTTGATGTATATAATCGCTTGCGCCAGCCTGTATTCTTGTTCCACATTTGATTCAATCGGCAGACGAAAACTGAACCGCTACACCTTAGCAGCTGCGCCAAGCGCTGTGTCGCGATCGCCTCAGTTTCCGTTTCCGGTGTCCAGTTTACGGTTAGCGTCGTTGCTCCTAAGAGATGCGTATTTAGGCGTAAGAGAATGTGTTTTAGTTGTACTTATTCGTCCTTATGTTATCATTACACCACACAGATTTCTACCATTTCTTACCCTACTCAACAGCATTGTATGACTTTTCGATTTGTTTTTTGAAACCGATTTGCTTTGTTTGTTTGGAATATTGTGATCTCTCTCAACAATTCATAATCTAATAAAGGTCCTCGCTTTGGTTGTGCATCCTGATGTTTTGCCACTCAACAAGTTTTGAGCGGGGAGAGTTTTCAAAATAGAATGATGGAATCACCACCGGGTGGGGACTGCTGTGTGCAGTGGTGATTGTTGCATTAGGTTCCTAACTATACATGTGTAACTGAATGGAATGTTTCTGAACTCAAAGTGATGGGATTGAGGGCATGTGTATGCGAATGACTTGCTAAATTCCGAATACTTTCCAAGCGTCAAGTTCGTTTCCGCCGCAAAAGTGAGATTGTAGATTACTGATTCTCTGCATATTATCACTGAAGTACTATTTTAAGACTAATAGTGTCTTTTTGAACTCTTTCATCACTGGCTAAATTTGTGAAAGCGATGAATGGGAAGGTACTTAGGCAACAGCGAAGGCAGAGTTGGTGCGGAGATTATGTGCAACATGGTTATTAAGAGATGTAATTGTCTCTGCGGATTATCCATAGCTAATCATTTACCAGAGCTCTGCCTTGGTGATATGATATGGGGGATATTTGATGCGAGTTTGAGCTCTCCACCTTATTTCAAGTTTTTTGATGCTCACATTAAGGCCGCCTTTGAGGAATGCTATAAGAGTTCAACCTCACAAGAGCGGGTGCTTTAACATGACTTACTAATGAGTTGCATATGCAAAGCGGGGTTGCGAAGTCGTTTAGTTTTTCATCGCTTGTAATTCTGTGAGTTACATAATTACCGCATTTAACTTGTCAGCCATTGACTTAGGTTTTTTTCCGTGGGCTGACGTCGTTTGATGAAGTCAGACGTGGGCGAGCTCTACTTGCTTGAAGTAAAATTGTTCGTTAAAGCTGCAATTGACGCGCTGTTTTCGTTATTGTCTTAGCTCTAATTCAACTGTTTGATCGCTAGAAAAAAATCACATGAATTATTAATCGACATACAGTGAACATCCTCTTGCAAACTTAAAGGCAGTGTCTCACCAAAATTTATTTGCTGAGATTTTTGCATTTTGCAAGCCTGTCGGACCCTGTATAGCACTATATGGGCTTAAAATCGCACGAAGTTTCTAAAAACCCCGCTTTCTGGAGGCCCCGCGGAAGCAACATGGACGAGTTGTGCCTTCCAACTTCAGCCTCAGCCACAGTGGCAGCAACAGAGGGGAGGTGGATGACAAGTGGAGGGACATGTTCAAACGCGTAAGGGGGGAGACCGAAGGAGTCGTCCGCGCGTACCAACTCGCTCTCCGCGTACCACTTTGAGCAAGTTTTTCTCAGCGTGGAGGGGGTCAAATTGAGTGGGACTTGTTGCAATGGCCTATTTAGAGGTCCCTATAATAGATTATGTGAAGATCCGCGCGACCTCAACTTAGGTGAGACACTGCCTTTAAGTTGAAGGTTTTCCTGTAGGAGCAAATGTAAGACCACGGCGATAGAAAATTTTTTGGAAATACCATAGACATGCTAGGGTACTCTACAAATCAACATCCCGAGTGAATGTTGCATTTCAGACTTTTTCTCCAGCTTATCCACCATTTGAATCAATAACTCTTTTCGTGCCCGATCTTTAATTTTGCATAAACATGCGTCATCGAGAAGAACTTTTTGAAGATCCTTCGCCAGACTTCGCGCAAGTGACCATCAAGCTCATCTGTGACAAAAGGTAGGGAAAGACATATTGCCTGTATAGGGTAAAGGTAGAGGGTAATGTCGAGTATGCATCTCAAATCTGCTAAATAATCTCAACTGGTTATATTGGCATTTTTCCTGGTTTTCTTCCAAATATTTTCGAATGCAGGAAAATAAATGGTTGTTTGCCGTAGAAAATAGTAGTTTCAACTTGAACTACCTGCGTCATTACGCCTGAATTTGGTTTTGTAATCTCAAGTGGTTATATTAATATTTTTCCTGGCATCTGGCCAAACATTTTCGAGTACAGGAGAAGAAATGATTGTCTGTCGTAAAAAAACGGTTGTTTCAACTTCGAATACTTGCGTCATTACCTCTAAATCTTTCGGTTTTGAAGTACCTCTTAAAGCTCATTCAGAATGATCGTTTCAAATTTCAAATGCGCAATCGAGATCACCGTTTAGGGGAAATCTGCACCGTATACATCATCTTGCAAGTCACCCGGCAATTTTTCCTTGTAAACTTTCTCCGCCATACATAAAATTGGCGGTTTGGAGGAAAGCCTTTGAAAACGGGTGGAAATGCCTGCCATGCTCGAATTCTTTTTCTAGACATTTTCTATTTTTTGGGATGCTTGAATGAAAGTCGAGGCTGTAAGCGAAAATGTTAGAATAGGAAGCACACTTCACTGTGGCGTTGCCGTTTAACAAAGCATGAATTCTGCAAGATTCGTAAGGCAAAGCTTTAACTGATAATCATGCAGCCCTATTAACTGAAAAAACCCTTGATGAGTCACTGACTCACAAGCAGGCTCACATGTCATGGTAGCTGTGCATCATGTGTTTTGCGCTTACAGTGCTGAAGTGCTTAGCACCAGCAGTGCCGGCTTGGTAAAAAGTTGTTCAACAAAACTTTGTGACTCATCGTCGTACTTCGCTAATCAGAGCAGGGAAGCCAAAATCATGAATTGTGTTGCAATGCAAGGATCAAGTTGCCATGGATTAAGATCATATTCAAAAGGCTTATTTCATCATCACTCATATTCTGACAATCGAAAGTGAAGGACTTGCACTAGTTCGCTGGCTGAAGCAATAGCAACCACCTCAGGGTCGGCACAGGTGCCTTATAAGCAAGGTGGATGTCGTTTTGGGACAAAAAGCAAAGCAGATATGGTTTTTGGCGTTTGAATAAAAAGAAATTAGGTTAGATTTTTTTGGTGCGTTTCTGATTTTGGGTCAGGACCTTCTTAAAGTTTTGCGAATGTCAGAGGGGACTTATTTTTTTGCATGATTGGAAAGCCACCTCGTACCGAGCCCTGAGCCACCTATTAGAAGTTGAACAGTAATGATAAAATGAAGTTGATCCCTAGATGGTAAGGCTATCATCCAGTCATCCTATATCTTTGTGCCAGTGAAAGCTTTAGATTTGGGAGTGGAGAGGAGAGGAGGTAGTTTCTTCTAGATTGAGGGGTTAGCCACGTTTCTTATCTATATAGAATCTACCAATTTTTGGACAAATGAGATTTTTCCGTGTGAGATTTGAAGTCAGTACTCTTGCACAAATGCAAACAAGTAATTCTCACGATTCTGTAATTTATGTGGACCACTAAAAAACCTCGTGAACTTTCGCGGGAATGGGGGGGGGGGGAGGGGTGGCCATGTCCATCCTTCACATAAAGCATCAAAGATTATTTGTTGAGTAAGTTATGTAACAACTTATCCATCATCTATTTAAAAAACGCAGGGCTAGTTTATTTTTCTCTATCTTAAGTCTGTAATCCGCTGCAAAGGCTTTACACTAGTTTTCGGGAGCGATACAAATTTCCGAAAAAGTGCGTAAAATTTCAGTAAAAGACGACATATTCCCGTCAAGCTACACAAAAGGCTTAAAGTATGGTGCGTTTTACATTATGCTATCGTTTGTTTGAAATCTGCAAATCTGATTCTGTGTAAACTCTTGGAAGCCTTGTTTTATAAACTTTCGCCGCGACGACTACGAGTCGCAGTGAACAAGTGCAGTTTTTTGCTGCAGTTTTTCTTTGGCAGCAGCCCGATCTAGCCAATTTTTCGTTGCCAGAACTTAGAAGATATGGACGCTAAAGTTTCAACATTTTCCGGCGGATGCACTTGAATTAATAAATCGGCCATTGTTCCTTTTCCGTTCTTTCGACTGCTTTGAGAATTTTCGTTTTTTCGATCGCGCATTTTCTGATGATATTCAAGGAAACTTTTCCGTTATAACGGAAAATGACTTGGAAGCTGGGTCGAAAACTATTTTTCCAAACTTTCTTCAACTTGCATTTGTTTACGAATAGATGCAAGCCATTGCGTCCAAGTTTATGCTTTATCAAGTTCTTAAAAATCAAATAAGTTTGAGAAGCAAACGAGCGCATGGCTAATGCATTTGTGTAAACAGACACAAGTTCGTGCAGACAACCTCATTTTTTCAGAAAACTTTAGGGCATGTAAAATGATTGCATTTTGATACGTTACCAACTTTGTATACTCGAGCGATAGTGTTTCATAATTTCCGCCAAAGAGTTATCAAAAATTTTGTTGCAAAATAAGGAAACAACACATTTGGTGTACACTTTTCTTGGGTATGATGAATTTTGTACCTTTGCAAGTCGAAGAATTATCAAAATGAAATCAGTAAGGCGCTCAGAAAAATTCGAAAACTGACGGTAAAGAAGTGCAACTTTTTCTCTGTTGAAAGATAGGACAAGAACAAAACCTTAAGTAAGATCAGATATAAGCATTCTAGCATTTTCGTGGTACAAAGGTAAAAACGACTAGTTTTTCCCGTTGAGAACCTTTATCGCTGAGGTTGCGCAAAATGATTCTCATATATAGCGCATCAAGCTGATGGTTTGCTTCCTCCATTGAAATTTGAACCAAATAGAGTAAGGCAAGTAAATTGAAAATGAGTGTGTTTATAGATTATTGAAAAATTTGGCGCAAGACTTATGGTGCCTATTTATCAATCTAATGGACACATGCCATTCGCTGCAGAGCTAGCTCAGCTAATAATATGTCCACCTTTTTTGCTCCCAAATTAATAGAACTGTGTGGGCAATCAAAGCTACAAAAATTGGGTACCGTAGTTTGACTACTTGCTCATAAACGCTCTCAAGAGATGTTGGTTGGTGGCAAATCTTTAAGCAAAGTTGATGCGTAGATTGTGCTACTTTAACTTCTGTCCTTTTCTGAGCACTACTTCGACCTTATGCACTTTCCATCTTCTGGTTAATCTACTTTTGATATGCTTTTTATAAACAAATGGCACAAAAAGGGCTCTGAACTGAATGCTCTAATCTAAGCATTACCTAAGCTCAAAAATATACGAGTGTGAAAACTAGAAAACGAATGCGATTCTAAACGGCAGGGCTGGGTTTTCGTAGGACTTGTGAATCTTTAGTAGCTGTGAACGGAAAAAAATTTGCTCTTGAAAGGAAGTATAGGATTACTATGAGAATGGTCGAAGCTTGTATTATCGAAGAAATGCACCTCGCAATTATTCACAAACAACAACGTTATGAACGATCTGAAATTTCTTGGGTTTTTGTTTACCTCTAAACTGATTTTGTAACTTTGATACTTTTTTCGGGCTTCTCAGAGCCACAGCGTTCCATTTTCCATGGATTTGAAGATAACTGTTTTTTTTTTGAAAGTCCAAATCAAAGAACTCGCGCATGTTAGATTCGATAAAGTTTTTACAAGAAAAAATTGCTGACGAAAACTCGCAAATCCATTCTCCGATATGCCAATCCTGAGGGGATTTGTTGCTTTTTTGGCGATTACGTCAGAGTCTCGTTCCCAGAGTGTTGCCCTCGGCTAGCTGGTCTTAGCTGCCCCCGTTTTGCACTTGAAGTCGTAAGTCGAGCTTAGGAGTGCAGCTTCATCGTGTGATTTCGCTCTGGAGAAAAAAATGTATTTCCAGTTCTACTAGGTCGCTGCAAGTCATTAGCATTCTGCATATGCTCATCTTTGAACTCAAATTTCTGCAAGAATGCTCTGTTCAACATATGGACAGTGTTCCTCCAGCAAAACATCAACTATGAAAGAGTAATCAAAGTTCGAGAAATCCAAAATAGGAAGGTTGGGTTTGGAAGACCCCTACAGTTTTTGAAGGGCTTATTTGTAAGGAAAAGCAAAGGTGGAATATTTTGAGCTAGCCAAAACTCGAGCTGGTATACTTTTCAAGTTTGATAGAAGAAAACTGAAAGCAATGCAAGACTGTCACACTCTTTACTTTTGTTCTAACTACTCATACGTCCTTGCTTCGATATGCTTTAGGTTTTCACTTCTTTCGAGCAATGAAGGCTGGAAGGCTCTAACGCTTACGCTTTTTATCTACAAGTGTTTATTTTATGAGTGTTATCCACATGAGGGCTGCAATTGAACCCCTACTTTTAGGTGGGAAAGACGGCCTGCGACGAAATAAGAAACCGTCGAGACTCCATGATGACTTTGTTCCAAATGTATTTCATGAGATGAGATTTGGATATTGGAAAGAATGTTTCGTCGCGATCTTACTGTTGGGGTAATTCAATGAAAACCTTTTTACTGAAAGTAGATTCTAAACATTTAATGATTTTCGAATCGTTGTGAAATTTTCTTTCTTTTGAAATTAGACCTCATGAAAATTATTTTGAACAAAATCATGGAGTCCTGACGGTTTCATCAAGATTGATATGTCGCAGGCCGTCTTTTCTAGTGGACTTAGGGGCGCAGTTTAGATGATCTCTTTTAATCAGCTACAACCCACTAATATTAGGTTGCTGCATAAGTTCTGTCCGATTTGAAATTTTTGAGTTTAAAATGTCATAACTTCTTTCGAAGTCAACATTTTTCCGAGAATCTTGGCTTCTATATGTTGTGCAGTTCCTTGGCTATCAGAGACCTATTGAGATCTGCGAAACTCCTTTTCGAGGAAGAAGCAGGAACTCCAATACTTCACAGCGTTTGCCTCCAAATCTGTCTTTTTTGACATGTTCCGTTATGAGAATTGATAGGCATCTTAAACAACAATGGATAGATAAAAAATTTTTGTAGATTCTTTTGCAACACAAAAGACCATAGGGTCTGCCGAGAGATTTTTTGAACGGGCAAAAAAGAAGCCACTTTTTGACCTTGCTTTTTGACCATGTGTGCATGCCTATTCACAAAGTAAGAAAATTTTACAATTGAGGTGAGAGCGCTAAAAAAGAATTGGTGGATGGGCCCTCCTGCATCTACTAGCTTTCTACACCCTTATTCCGCAACCAATAAAAAAACTTGACTTGAGGGGCGCATTCTGGAGATTTCCTAGCAAGAACATATTTCTGGAGTGAGAACGTACCTCGGCGACTGGAGATTTTATGTCTAAAATCTCCTAGCACTAAAGAATTTATTGAAATTTGATATGGTGAAAAGAGCGAAAAGCACTTTCTAATAATGCTAACAATACCACATTAGAGATGAAATTCTCTTAGAACAGCTGCTTCAAACATAAAGCAAAAAAAATCGGACAGAAGTTATGCAGCAGCCCAATACATCAGAAACTCTCTTCAGTATGCAAAGGCCAACTTTTTTCAGATAAATTTCAAGAAAAAAGCTTGCGTAATGAATGTTCCCATTTTGCAGAGTTCACGATTTCTACAGCCGCTGCTCGGGGTCGCAAGCTGCGAGTACCATGCCTTGCGAAAAGGCGAATTAGATTTGCACGTCGGAGAGAAGGTAGGTGGTTCTCTAGCATAGTTTCTGCTTAAATTAGGTAGGTAGAGGTCGTGCTGTTCAAGGTTTTGCGAACCTAGCAATTTCCACAGAAAAAAGATAGACAGGCTCTCCAACACCGTCCGAAAATCTATTAGGTTGTTGAATTATTTCTCTTACGCTTTTTCCTATTTTCTTCTGGAAAATTCCAGAAGCTTACTGAAAATCACAAATTTGTGATGCGCTTAGAACATAACAGGGTCTCGTCATCGGCATAATTAGCGCTACAAATGACCAAGTTACGGCATTTTTGCAAACACTCATTTCCACAATTTTTTTGAAATGTATTTTGGTACTATCTCCACAATGAAGGCACTCCGGTGCCTCTAACGTTCGAAAAGAGGAGTGAAGGAGTGAAAAAAATCAAAAAGATCGAAAACTGCTTTAAATTTTTCATCTTATGTGTGTCGTGTAGAAATGAATACAGGAAGCTCAGAAATAATTTTTTGAAGACGTTTTCTTTGTTAGAATGTTGTGATTGCAAAGATAGCGCACTTGACATTTGAACCGCTCAGAAAAAATGTGTGACATGCTTGTCACTCCCGATCCCCCTCCCCCCCCCCCATATTTGCTGAACGCAACTGTGTCCTGCCTGATTACCACATCGCCCGGTCTCTCGTTAGTCGACTGGAAGAAACAATTCAGTTGTAAAAATGGGAACAAAGCGGATTTTCTGCCACAAAGTGAGTGTTTTGCGCACGGACCGCGGACGAGACAGTACTGATGAATACGTTTCAATCCTGCTTGAGTTCTTAACCCATTGTTTTCACCCATGTAACTTTGTCTCAGAATAGCTCTCAGAATTCCATTTCGGATTTCTGGAAATGATTTGATAATCAGGAACGACCGGAACTTTTGCATTGCAATATTTTTTTCGCATCTTCCACCTGGCCGCTTTCACTTTTTGGAGTTCTTTTGCAGCGACCTTTTATACTGATTTATTCAATCCCACAGGAATTCGATCTGTAAGTAGTGCAAATTACAAGCAAAAAATGATTCAATTCGCCAGCAAATTGCAGAGTTTTCATGTTTTGTTTCATGTCTCGTGTAATTATAGTGCGCAGTTTCTTTTTTCGGACAAATTTTAGAAAATTATTTTGACTCAAACTATTGATTACCAAAGTCCTTTGAACGTTTGAAATGAAAACTCCGCAAATTACATAGCTACACTTAGACAATTTCAAAACAATAGGTTGGAAAGTGCACCGTTAATCAGCGCTAGGCAAGAATCACTTCACGACTGTAACTTCTGAACAAAGATACAGATATAAAAGTGACACTGAGTCAGTTACTCTTTGAAGGAATTAATTAATATACCAAGAGATCATCGTATAGGGGAAGAAACCGTACGATAGCACGGCTCCAACACAATATTGTACGTTAGCCTTCAAATCTTCATACATATTTAACCTGCCTTTTGAGTAAAGCTTTTTATCCCACTCAGAGGGTGATTGTCCTTTGAGTACAGATTTTTTGTTAGTATGCCAATCAACCATTGACACTGGACCCGACGAAGAACTAGACCAGCATCAACGCAGCTTTTTTTCTCATGACTGGGTTGCGAGGCGATTTCTGTGAACCTTTCTTGATTAACCTCAAAATATCCAGGACTTTATTGGCATACAAAAACCCTTAACAGTCGCATTTCGTTTCAGGTCGAAATTCTCGACGTGAGCTTTGGAGTTTCTCATGTACTGAAAAATGATGGAACGTGTGGAAACGTGCCGAGCTATTTTTTGGAGCTGCGGGATATTCCTGGCAACACTTTGGCGGAACAAATCAGGTAAAAATCCTGTTCCCTTCAGAAGTTTGCCATTCTAGCGGTTGATTGAGTGAGGTCTTCTAAAAATTATTTTCTTACAATACGTGATTTTCAGTTATCGTCGAATGTGGCACGCGCTGGTGGATGAGCTTGTGCCTATACTACCTCCCTTTTCACCGCTCACGGGTCAACGCTCGCACTCAGAACAATTTCCTCTGGTAAAGTCGACTGCACGAAATCGCCCGGGTCCCTGTAGGCTGAACGCTCGCGAGCGTGCCTGCAAGCGCCTGCCGTGTACAGGCGCCATGATGACTCATGCATGCGAATGCCAATGTTAGCTCGCCAGAGACACGGCGTTCAACCCATGCGATTCTGTGCAGTCGACTATGACTTGTAAACGACTACAAAGAAGATTCTACAGCACTTCCCTTCAGATCCTGGACGAGCGACCACAGTTTGTTCTTCCGCTCGCAGACGTAACCATTTGTGAAGGAGAAGATTTGGTCCTAAGGAGCAAGATTAGTTCCGCCTCGCCTTATACGGTTACATGGCGAGGAACAGCTGTACAAAGCGGGAGAGCTCAAATTGAGGTGAGTTGCTCACTCGATGTCAAACACAGCGAAAGTTTTTCTCTCTAGCATGATGCCGATTCTACGTCCATGAGGATATCCAAGATCGCTGCACTAGAATGTGGGCCCTATTCTGTGATTGCTGAAAATGAAAACGGTTCATCTTCAACACTTGCCGTTGTCAAAGTCATAGCCCGCCCAGGTACATCAGTTTCTCTTTTCACCTTTACATATGTACCAGTGGCAGTCCCAGGATTTCCATTCGGGGGGATGGGGACGGCAAAAACATCCCAAAAAATTTTTAGGGGTGCTTCTCAAAATTTTTGTGGGTCCCCACCCCCGAAAATTTTTTTCTATAAGGCTAATTTGAATTTTTGAAAAATTTCAAAAATTATTTTGATTGTTTACAGAAATAAACAAGTCACTTGCACAATTTTATAACCCACGTAATTGGATTTCAAAAATTTCGCGACCAACTCTCAGAGGCCCCCCTCCTTTCCTTGGCCCGCCACTGATATGTACGCGAACATGTCGAATGGCTCGAATGGCTCGATACCCGCTTTGGCTATGGCAAGACTGGCATCAGACATCTCGTGAAATTCATTTCAAGAAAATTCACAGACCCTGTAGATCATAAGATCAGGAGGGGAACGAAAAAAGTTAATTTCGGGGGTGCAGGAGCTAATTGTAGAAGAATATTAGCTTCACTAGTGAGCTCGTCTCTCGCTGGTGTTCTGCAAATTTAAATTTTCAGCGAAGAAGGCTAGTAGCATATCATGAACTCCATCGTTCAGTTCTGGATAAACAACCATGATCAGGTATTCTAGATGCTCCGACTGCGGTAGTTTGTGAACGAGTTGGAAGGAATGCTCTCCTCCTTAGCTGGAGCCCTGCAACAAGATCTGACATTCTCTTCTGTGTAGAATACAAAAGCGAAGGTTGGTGCGTCATTTTTTATGGTAACAAGACTGAGCGTGAGGTGTGGAGGGATGAATCGGCTGATCAGCCTAAAAGTACAATTCTTGCAACGCAGCAAGAACGGACCCTCATCGCAGTCTATACTCCTTCCCAGCCGATTGGAATAAAACTTCGCAGGCATTGGACATACTTCACGCGATTTCAATCGCAACGCGACTTGGCGCCAAATTTCTACAAATCAACATTTGCAGACTACAATTGTATTGTGGGTATCACCTTAGCAGGTTATAAAATGCTCCATCTATACCTACATAAAGCTGAGTGTTGGAAAATTGTTAGTTTGTGAGTTCTTTAACACACTGATGACCGTTTGACACACCGTGTGTGTAAAGCAATGACTACCACGTGGGACCGCTTGACACACATGATGTGTCAAAGCTTGAACTTCGTTGAAATGACGACTATCTCAGTACAAACTCATTCCAAAAGTTTTGTTTTGCTGTGAATCTAGAAGTGACCTCTATCTTCTTTGTCAACCTTCCACAGTACTGTAGGTATACTGTCGATGGCACTATGCGTGATCTTATCTAAAAAATGCTGACTGGTCCGTGAAAATCTTGGTCCCAAGAGGTGGACAATAAAAAATTTGGCGTTGTCGTCAATGTGTTGAAGAATTTTTTGTGTACTCAGACAATCGACGGGACCCCTCCGCCGGACCCTCCGAAACTGCCAGAGTCGCGCCGGACCCAGTTGACCAATGAGAGAAGGGCAAATGGGCAGTCCATCGCGGTGACATCACTGGCAGGCAAATGGGAGGCTTCTCCGGCCCTGCTGCAAAGGTCCGCCATTTCTCCGGCGCGACTCTGCCAGATTTGGCGGACTCCGCGCCGGAGAAATTTGCGCGGCGCGTGTCCGCCAAATTTGGGAGAGCCGCGCAGGAGAAAATGGGAGGGGTCCGGAGCAGAAATGGGAGGTATCCGGAGCAGAAAATGGGAGGTATCCGGAGCAGAAATGGGAGGTCTCCGCCGGAGAAATGGGAGGGCTCCGCCGGACAAATGGGAGACCCACCGCTGGGGAAACGCCGCGACCCTGCCATTTCTCCGGCGGAGGGGTCCTATCCGCTGCCTGAGTATGGACGGATCAGTGCCAAACTTTGCACACTTATGTTTTCGACACCGTTTCACCTCATAGACTACTTTTCGAGGCGAAAATCCCACTCCTTCTATTGATTTATCTACTTATCATGTAATATCAAATCAATTCCAACTCGAGTAACAAAAGCAGTAGACTTATTTTTATACCACGATAAGGGAGATTCGGTAATTGATGGGGTCAGCAAGTATCTGCACTGCATTACAAGAAAAAGAGAAGGAAACCAGCAGATGATTTGAACCTTTAGAGTTAGGCACCAATTCTGCTCGTGGTTGAACTAGTTGAACCCACAGTGCAGACGAAGCTGGGCATGCCAGCTAGTCTTTTATACTTTCGGAATGCGCTCACGACGAGTCATAAACGGCTGGAGTTGCCAGATCGCATCGCGACTGAAATCGCGTGAAGTATGCCTGCGGCCATGCGCTTTTCTCCAAACTTTGAGTCTGATTTAGTCTCTGAAGGCTGGCTCTGAGTCCTGGAAAACGCATGCCCTATACTGAAGACCGTAAGACCTGGCTTAAGTAAATTTGTATTTTTATCGAACTGAAAACAGTTTACATGTTGTAATGGCGCAGCTACTCCCGAGGATGCTACTTCCTACTTACAGGCTGAGATCAAGATTCTACTAGAAAAGGCTTATCCCTACTTATTGGCTAACTCCGCTCACCCTTTTATTTCTAGTTTGCGATTGTTTGGTACCGGCTCATCTTCATTTTTGAACTGTTTAGAAAATCCTTATAAAAAGGTTGAATACGGGATACTGACCATGAGAGAAATGCGCAATGATCTTGCGCTAAGCTTATGTCAACAGTTTTAAATGAAATTTAGATATGTCGTATTTTCGTTGTGCTGCTTCCGCACTGCGATCTACTACAATCTCACTACGTCACTTCCGCTCCATTAGATATCGGATCCGGATATTTGCTTACAACCTCTGTTGCCGCAGCAAACCAAGCAAAGAAGTCGAAGTGGACTTTAGAAGCGAAGTCAGCCTCATTGTGAGTTTACATAATGATCGCTTTTTTCAATATCAACAATTACAGAATGTTTGAAAAGTTTCTGGCCTAAAGTATTTCTGCGAATCTTAATTCGCTTTTTACTATATGTGCTCGCTAAATCTAGAAACCACCCAATCAACAAAGAAAATATTTTTTGCCTCAAGACACCCGGAAATTTGGAAGTAAACAATTTTTTCAGCTTCCTTGAAGAGGCGGAAGTGGATAGATTCGTTCTTCTTTTCTTCAATGCCGGAAAACATAAACAACTTTCCGTATTTTTAATGCAAATATTCCTAAGTTTACACTTTTTTTATAACAAAAGTTTTCAGTAGCTTGCAAACGCTGATTTTTTATGTGCTTAATTTCAGTAGGCAATCGCGGCACAAGTTTGCGTTGAAATTTTTTCATTTTGAAAGTTTTCGGAAGTCTTGTTTCAAGTGTATCTGTAGCACAACTCATTGAACTTCCTTGCATCGTTTTTAAAAAGTTCACACTTTCGTAAAGATTTTGAAGATAATGTATAAACAATTTGGCGCTGCATATCTTGACGAAAAATCCTGAAACTGAATTTCTTGTCTTTCAAGGCACTGTATTTCATAATGAACTTTCTATGAAAATAAAAGCACATGTAAGAAACCTTAAAGAAAGAGCCTTCAAAAGTTAGACCAATGTTTCTGTAAATCATGTTTCCTTCTTTGTAAGAAGCGTTTCAAGGAAAGAGGTTTGGAAAGCTTTATTGATGTGTTTCGATCTGATAAAAAATCAAAGAAACCATGAAGAAATATCCATGAACTATTTTGATATTCACTGAAATAATGTTATCTAAGCCAAATGAGTACAGTAAAACAAAAGGCGCGTCAAAATTGAATTGGAAGTACTTCTTTAGACCAGGTACTTTCCAAATGCCTTGTTAAAAAGTTGGTGAGGTCTCTCCCGACGGTCACTTCTTATAAAATCACTTTTTGTATGTCTTGCGGCCGTTTTATGCCTTTGGATGGTCTGAACTTACTTCGCGAAACTGGTTGTAAGTGAACCTAAAAACATGACTCAAAACAAAAGCTTTAATATTCTCACTCTTTTGCTAGACAAAGCTGTATAGTCTGCAGATGTTCAGAATTTCACGTAGTGTCGACATGCTTGTAGATCCTGCTACACAGCTTCTTAGTCTCTTTTCTGAAATTCTCCTTCATACGATCTGTGTATAAAAGCGCTATATGGTGGAATGGACGCATTTCTACATTGATGGAGAGCGAACGGTGATTTGCACCATATTGTATATCTAAACCGAGGCGGACCTATAGAATGGTACCTTAGGAGAGGCGAAGGACATTCAAGGGAGAAAAGGCTACGATCAAACAGTGTGTCCACTTTTCAGGGCCCTTTGTATACTAAATAAACGGTCTTAGTAATATCCTAACTATTAGCGTCTCAAAGTTATTGAAATTTTTTGAATTTTTGATAATAAGCCCCCCCCCCCCTCCTCCACTCCTCCGCTCAGCTCAGCTCTTTCTAACTCAAAGCTAGTCGAGGGGGAGAGGCAGTCAGATGACATAAGAAGGCAGTCAGACCACATAAGAACAGTATGCTCAGTTGTAGACGTATTGTAACTCAACATATGGCATTGAGGAAAATGCGTCGGACTTAAGAGATTCTATCGAGCTTGGGGAGGTACTGGGTCGGGGACGATTTTCCACAGTTTATGAAGCAACGCACATAAAAACGCAACGTACTGTAGTGGTAAAGATGCTTATCGAAGGAAGAGATAAAGCAGACACTGAAAGAGAGGTAAACGTTGTTTAGACGTCCACTCATCTTAATATGTGAACTTATTTCTAGGTTGCAATACTTTCGATGCTACATCATGCGCACATGCCTCGACTCAAAGGCATTTTTGTATCGGACGGTCGCTACTGCATAGCTATGAAAAGGTTTGCCTAATGACCAGGGCTCGGCACGAGCTGGCACCGGAGAAATTTCAAAACGAAGTCCCTTTGATCCTGAAAATTTTGTACGAAGTCTCCTTTGACCTATTTTGAAACCGTCATTATTTTTAGATTATGTAAAAGTATGTAGTAGGGTTTCCATGCACGCTGATCTCAAGAAACAACTTTTCACAACTTTCTGAGCTTTTTAAGCGGCTGAATCACATCTTGAGAACCAGAAAAAGCCGATTTTTCGACTGCGGAGCAGACCGAATTTTCAGATGTCTATAAAACGCTAAAAAACATTATGAAATTGTTTTTTCTTCGTATGTAAATTTTTACAGTGTACTTTTTACATTTTATGTAAAAAAGTATGAAAACTTATGTGAGCAAAGTGTCGGTGGCACCCAGCTGGCACGGTGCTAGCTAATTCAGAAAAAAATTCAGCACAGCTTTCATTCACATAACTTTTCATAAATTTCTCGGCCCTAGTTCGGGTCCCCCAACGCGCATGTACACACCAAATTTGGTACCATACTATTGCGTTTTGGCTGAAAACAACGCCTTTGTTTATTTGATGGACAGATGCCGGTGGCTTGCCGGCGGCATTCTTGCGGCTCTTCTCCGCCCCGGACCTTGGAAAAACGATATCCCCTTTGCTTTCCGCCCTAACGATATCCAGCTTGACCCGGTGCCAGCCGTGCCGAGGCCTGCTAGTGACAAAATTGTGAAACTTCATTAAAACTTACAGGATGGCTGGGATCCCGATCTCCACATACGTTGAAGATTACGTGCACGCAGATGAGGTGGGCAGAAATCCTGAAGAGCTCATGCGTCGCCTTTCCATGGATATCCTATCTGCACTTTCATATCTGCACGGAAGGAGCATTGTGCACCTGGATGTCAAAGTTTGAGTTTGAAGAGATGCGGGCTTTGAACGACAATACTAAGAATTTCCAGCCGGCAAATTTGCTAGTTTCTGAATGGGTTTCACTGATAGATTTTGGTTGCGCGAGGTTTGTGGAGGCTGCTGATTTGGACTGGGGAGACGGCGACAAGAGGTAAACAGTGCCTGGAAATAATGCAAATAACAATTATAAATAATGATAACAATAAATAATAATAGCAAGTGGAATAACTTAAACAACTACGAATAAACAACTGAAAAGTTCTTCATGCTTGACGCAAATATTTTCAGCTACTCAGCTCCAGAGCGGATAGCGGGGAAACGTCCATCAACAAAATCGGATATCTGGTGAGCGTTTAACGCTGCCGTAGCTTTTAATTTCTATTAATAAAAAAACTGAAGGGAAAATAGAGCAGCTACACGATTTACACTTTCTACCAGCTCCGAGGCTTAGTAGTAGAGCTGAACAGGGGTTACTTAATGATTTTTTTAGAACTTTAACTTGGTTGGCAATTCTCAGATGTCAGGTTGGCGCTTGTTTTAAACTTCTCAACTCTTATTTTGATTTTTGGAGTTATATAGATTGTGTTGTAAACTTTGTTAACATAATAAAAAGAGTTTGAGCAAATTTTTAAAATTGCTGAGAATCGAGTTTTATAGTTTTTGAGCAAAAACGAAGCCGTGCACAACCTGAAGCTAGAGATTGACTTATTGAAGTGTTATAAGTCTGACAAATAAAGAGGGCTTTCAAGGATCCAACAAGTTGACTACGAAAATTGGAGCATTAACCAAGCTGTGAAACCCGCGAAACTGCCAAAACTTCGGATGGGGTAACGATAAGCTGAAGACGAACATCATATTCATCTGTTGCTAAATGGAGCAATTTCACCTTGATCTTACGAAATAGGCCCTTTCATGAGGAACAGGATGCTTTGTAATCAGCATATCGAAACCGCTTGAACCTAGTTTCAGAAAAACCTGAAGTGATCTATTTCCCTTGTACCGTAAACCTATCGTAACCCAAACATACAATTGCGGAAATCGACAAAACGGCTGCATTTTTATATTGCTCATAATTTATTATAGATAAAACAGTGATTGAATGCACCACAATCGAAAGACAAATTATTTAGATCTTTGCATTACTTATGCTCAACATAACAATAAGAATAGATGATTTAGGTCATTTGGAGCGGTACTGTTTGAGACGTGCTTTGATGCTGCTCCACACACAATGCTCGCTGCACTAGCTTTGAACGCGGAGCAGAGGTCACCAGCGTTGATCTCCTTTCTCAACGAGGTATGCTATGAAGCAGGTCCTGAAGTTTATCCCTACACGATAGAATTCACTCAGGTGCTCGCATTTGATGCGGCACGACGCCCGTCGGCAGAAATGTGCATGCAAAACCAATGGTTTGGGGTATGTTCTGACTGTTTTTGACCTAAGATAGTATCGAACTTACTTTAGGCCTGTAATCAGCTCCAAGTACCTCACGAAAAACGGGAATTCAGGTCAAGAAGTGCCAGTTTTGAAGGCTGAAATTAGATGTTAAAATGTTTCGTTTGAAATAAACTATATTTTCTCATTCTGCTATCTCAGATAATGATGATTGTTTTCCGTGAATGTGGAAATCAACTTTTTGAGCTATACAGTGGGCTCAGAGACAAATCCAAAATGTTGCGAAATCTCAAAAAGTACCATCCAGAAGTTCTATAGCCGATTGGATCGATTATCATTCTCTGATACTGTTATGGTAGCACCATCAAATTTTCGTGCAAAAGAGCAAGATATTTTTCTTTTCAATTCATATCCCCCTCAATAGGTCTCAATGTCAGTAATCCCACCTTTTCTTCGCAACCCGTTCCGAACAAATAAGCGATGAGAACAATTATTGGAAAATTCTGCCGTAACAGAGCCTGCCTAGCTTTGCAGTTCTCAAAGGCTTTTAATATACAATCTAAAACTACATCCCGACTCTGCTCAAACAGACGACAGCAGCATGCGTTTGATGCCAAGATTACTAAACAGCGAAGGGACCATCTATGAAGAAATTCTTGCGGGTGTATGTCAAGAGGCACACTTCTTGATTTCCAGATAAAAAGCGTATTTTCAGTATTTTATGATGTTCTGGAAGTAATTTAATTTCATAACAAGCTAAGTCTCCCATACCCGATGCTTTGGTTGCTCGATCTAATTATTTTGAAACAGAATCAAAACATAAGTGTAGGGATCGAAAGCCCGTGAAAATGCAACTAATAGCGCTTTTGTGTTTATTTCAATCAAGTTTCTTACAAACACCGTCAAACTTAGCTAGTGGCTTACAGCCACGAATCGCTTACATGGCCGGTCGCCTTCGAAATATTAAGACAAAAATCATGAACAAGTCCCTTTACGCATGCAAGATCATTTTCATCGAAGTGCGAATTCAAAAAATCAATGAATTTTGTGATTCACTCGCACAGTCACGTGGCGTACCGCTGCCCAACATGTTATTTAGACTGAGCTCTTCCTGAAGCAAGTTGATTAAATCGAATGTAAGGGGTAACACCAAGCTTCCGAGTTTACACACTGGCATATTTCGGTCTTCCGAGGTGAAGAGTGGCCTAGCGAATCTTAAATAACCAGGTTTCGTTAAATTCGGAAAATTCGCCATAAGCCATGCAATTCCACGTTGCAATCAAAACGGTAATCGTCATAGCGGTTCTAGAACTTCCGAGAAGTGCAAAGTCTAACTTTGACAGTAGTTGGTAAAGAAATATAGTACCGTCTTCATGTGTCATCGGTATGTTGCAGTCTCCTTCTTGTAGTAGCAAATAGTGAGATGAAGGCGATTGAGGTTTGAAGTTATCTCGTTTAATAGGTCTACTTACCCCGGTCTACCATGGCTTTCGCTTCCCTAACCTAAAGCTTCTTCAGTAATAAAACATGAACCACTGATCCGCCCAAGAATGGGCGCAAATTTTGTAGCGGTATAGACAGGCTATGAAAGATAACCAATATGGCTTGTAGAGTAGCTTGTTATCTATATAGCAATGCGTCACCTCTGCTTCGCAGAGGCACTAGCCCTACTTTCTGTATGCCTTACTCATTCCCGCATAGTAATGACATTGAAACTCAATTTCTCGGGCAATGCAGGCTATCACGAATGATTTATAAAGCTACTCATTCCGAGAGTGTGTGAGATCGGTATTTTCGCATCTAAAACCACCACAAGTAATCGAAACTCTGAGCCGAGAAATTTCAAAGCAAATTCAACGGTCTTTGCGGTCCGTCTGCCCTGTATAAAAATCCTCAGCCCGAAGCGACTGCAGATCTTTCGCTTTATATTCAAAGACCACCTCCTCAATAACAAAGGACAAAGCAAGGGATTTAAAAGTGCTTGTTATGTGCAAAGCCTCAATCAGCGTGGATCGAGGCTTTGCACATAACAAGCACTTTTAGATCCCTTGCTTTGTCCTTTATAATTGAGGAGGTGGTTTTTGATCACGTTGCCGACGCTTTCCATGCAGACAAGCTCAAGACTGAATTGCACTTTGCCTATGAACACTGCAACACTCTGGACCCTTGCCAATGCAAACCATATGCCTGTCATTGAGTGCATACACACAGCATTACTCTCTCGACTAGGCGGAGCCTTCCTCTGCACATCTTTGTTGATTCATTAATCGCAGAGCAGCATTGTAAACGAACAGACAGTCACATCTATCACAAACGGACAAGTACCGTTTCGTTAATATTATAGAAGGATTTTGTTAGGTTGTAAAGAAATTTCCCGAGCACACGCGAAATTTTTCTCAAATCGCTGTAACTTCAAGCAGACTGTTCTTTTTGAAAGCTGCGAACCTTTCTGCAAAGGCAATGTTGTCTACAAGATTCTAGTTTGCTGGATCCCTCAGCACTTCTTTTCTGGCCATTAGCATACGCAGTATAAAAAAGGTCGACTTATTGCTAGAATTTGGCCTGTTAGTGCAGGAATTTCTCAGGCATGAAGAGAGCTGGGGAGCTCATACCGGGTAGTTATGTAGAACTCTGCTGCGGCAATTTTAAACTGTGTCACAGTTCTAAAGCAAAGCCTGTAAAAATTTTTTTCCGGAAAAATTGAAAAATCAGAAATTTGCACCTTGAAAATGCCCCATTTTTGAGTAACTGAGTTTGACGTCTTTATTTTTTTCACGAAATGAACCCAAACCTTTGATTGCTCCAGAAATTATTGGGGTGTTGTCTTGCACATCTTTTGGGCTCATCACTGAGGAGTGAATAGTATGGTTTTAACTTGTATTTCGCCTGCCCTTTCAGACATCGATTGCGAAAACAGGTACGGCCGAATCTTTGCGCGTATTGTAAAATCCGAGCAAAGCTGCGATTTTGAAGCGGACAACCTCTTTACACTGGTCAAACCCTTAAATGGTTTTCTTTGTTCGGTCGAAAAACTGGCAATAGAAAGAAGAATTGGTTATCGGTGCACACACTTCCTTTCTTTTGCGGTTGTAGGTCATAGGTCTGACATCGATGAAAAATGTGTGCGAGCGTGGAAAGCTTAAGGATTCTTCTACAGAACCATATAAAATTTGTCATATGAATTTAGCCTAGAGCGAAAAAAAGAGCCTGAAAATACAATTTCCAAAACTGCCTGGGAACTTTCTCTACAACCCAATACAAAGTAACTAATGAAAATGACTGCAACCGAAATTCAAAACTTGAATATGAAAATTTGAAGTTTTCAGTTATGAAAATGAACTTGGTTTCTCTCAAACATAAATACAGCTTAAAGGCAGAGTTCACCCAAATTTTCTCTGCCATGTTTTTATCGTTATCGGGTTCCATGGCACTGACTTTGGAGTGGGGTTCAAATCACCGGAAGCTCCAATATTGCCCGTTTCTGAAACCTATTTTGGCAGACGTGACCCGGCGCTAGTCACGTCGCTGCAACAGGAACTCTTGTCGTGTGCAACAGTGCTACATCACAAACTGTGCCTCTCGACGTTGCTTGTCATGTTAGAGCACGTCACGGGGCAAGCTGTGCGTGGGTGGAGCGCAAAAAAGGGGCGGAGCGCAAAAAGAATCCAGGTCCGATCTTCTTTTGTAGGCAACACTAGCGGACCAAACTAACGAGGTTGGTCTACTTTTAGGGTCTGCTAGTAGGAAAAGTAGCATGGGAGCATGGACTGAGTAGATTTTAGACATATGCTGTCTCTTTAAGCTTTGCTCCCCAAAAAAGCGTTGCGCGTTCTCTTCCATGCACTACTGAAAAATTTTGCTTTCATGAGTAACACCGATTAAGATGTAGTAGCTTTGAACTCTCAAAACCACTTAAAGGCAACGGTTTTCAATATATAGTGTTTTTGTTTTTTGAAACATGTATTTTCATATTCTTCGTCCAATGCACATGTTTGAGCTTGAAAGGCAGGCCAGTAAAAACCAGAGGTTTGGGTGAAATGGAAATCCTCAATAAGAGAGGTCCATGAGACTTGCTTCAACACCGATTATGATTTTGTATACGGTTCAGTTGCTCAGTTTTGGTGGAGGTGTTGCGCAGTAGCACAACTGACAGATAATTTTCTGCGCCAGTTTGAATGCAAATAATGGCATGCTTTGAGAGGTTTTCAAAAATTGATCACGCGATCGATCAACACTGTTTCATTGGATTTGACAGTGACAGCAGACCCAGGAAGAGTATCCAAAGTGCTATGGATCAATTCCCTCAGCGCCAAGTTGGCTCGCTCACAAAGCCGCTTCTCAAAAGGTTTTATTATCCGGACACCTTTCCATAAGCACCTCAAAGGACAGTACTACGAAAGAAGCTTAATCAAATTAGAGAATGGATCCGTGTTAGTTAGAGCTTTTCGTTGCTAGTGCTCAGAATTTGCTCAAAAAAGAACATTCATACAATGGTATCCCCAAATAGATCCAATCACATGATTGTCTGACACATTTGCACTTACGTGCACAGAACGAAGAACCAAAACAAGCGCTGATATTACCATCGGGACAATAAGTTATTCGGCTAAAATCATCAGCTAAATAAACGGCTAAACCTCCTCGGTTGACCTTTCCCTTAAATAGCAATTTGCTATCCACAACTCTGAGGGCTTTCCTGTGCGCCATCGTGCGCTCGTCCCGATCAAGCAATACTTGTGTTCTTTCAAAGCATCTGCCGTAGCTACTTATTTTAAATAGTGTTAATTCAATTGAAGCTTCAATGACTAATGAAGTGTATGTCGTAGCCAGCCATAATAGCGTAGACATATTTTTTATAATACAAATCCGCAGAATCTGATCGCTCCTTGTCACCTCTGCGAGCAAATGATGAAATTCTTCCTATTTTTCACGAGCGCCAAGAAATAACAACCTTCTGATATTTCTAGTAAGGACATTCATTATCATGCTTCAGAGCACCACTTTCCGCCAGAAAATGTACGTTGCATTTCAAAAGATTTCCAATCTTTACAACATTGAGGGACAACATTGCTGAATCTTCGCTGAGACATCCTCTGTAGTTGCTTCGAACACTTCTTAGCGTTTCAACAGTTCTGCGCAAACAGTGTAAGTTAGTGTATAATGTGAAGCAGTCCAGATAGTAAAATACTCATTGCCTGCCTCTGACATAACTCGGCTTACAGCATGTTCTGCACATAAGTCATGCCCGACACTAGTCACATGATTTCTCATCTCAAATTATAGCATGAAGATTTCAGAGTGAGCAACCAATCTTCATCATAGGTGCTGACAGTTGAGGTAGACCATGCACTCTTTGAAACCCTTGTCATTGGCACACTGCAATGAAGGAATTTTTACCAGTGTTTTTAGTGTATAACATACCATGAAACAGCAATACGCCAATGTTCTAGCAGAAATACTTTGAAACAGTAATATCTGCTGAGCCATATGTGATTTTTTAGTTTAAAGAATGATTTCAAGCTTACGAAAATAGTTCCGAAAGTTTTTTTCCTCATTTTAAACAAGACAAACTTTGGTTAGAGCATAGTATGTTGCCATAAAAATTACGGTCTACCATCACTTGGGCCTTATTGTAGGATAATGGTTGATTGCATCCGTGGCGAAAAACCGGTACCCACCCTCTGGAAAAATGGGTGTATGTAAAGAGGCGCGATTTTTATTGCCAGATGGACATCAAATAGTACTTAATAAGTGTTTTATAACTCTCTAAAAGTACTTAAATTTGGAAGGAGATGTATCAGATAGTTGCGTTGGTTGCTTAATCTTGCTTCCTTGGAATCAGTTCAAAAAAGCAATTTTGAAGGGCAAAAACCCATGAAAATGCAGTTAAGAAAAAATCCGTAATTAATTCTGTCCGTTTTCCAGGAAAAGCCACCAAGCTCAGCAATTGTTAATGTCAGACACACTTCAAGCCAATACACTTCCCTGGTAATTTTTGAAGACTCACACAGCACTAAACTGGAGTTTTAAGTTAGTGACAGCGGGAAAAATCGCGCCTCTTGACCATCTCCCTGGAAAAATTATACATCAGCTTGATTCACAAAAGCTACATTTGAAGCAAACTCTGCGTCTTGATGAAAGGATGTAGTGAAGTTAAAGAGAGGCAATTTTGCAAACGAGAGAACTCGGAGAGCAATTCACTTATCTACAGGTGAATGGTACTTGTTGACCATGGCCATTCGTGAAAAGAGAACATATCACTAAACACGTTTCAAAGTGCTGATTTGAAAACTGCCTTCGGCATCTACTCATCGATCGTCTTAAATAGGTTATGAGATTTTCCCAAAATAATTTGTACTATTTCTTAAACAAAAACTAGTAAAATCGCTCAAATTTCTTGTTCCGCTCCCCGCAACAACATTTGTAGAAGAGAGCAATTACGTTGAACTTGCATAACTGTCTCAATTGCGTTTATCCTCAAAGAGCCTAGATATCAGTGATTTTGATATGCTTTAGTATGCAAAAATTATACAAGAAAAAGCTCATATCCTGTTTTAGACAATCGATTAGCAGATAGCTAAAGCAGATATGCAAGCGTCTAGTGATCTCATAAAGGATAGTCACGGTCACCAAGTACCCTTCCCTTATTAGAGGCACAACAAGTCCATGAAAGTTACTGAGCATTCGTAAGCACTGTCTCTCAATAAACTGGGACACTTCCTCAGTTTTTTTTCCATATTCGATGATTAAAACTTAAGAAATCGATAACATGCATAGGAAGTTAGAGCAATAAATAGAAGCATGAATGGATATGCTAGCTTGCTGCATGAGTTCTGTCATATTTTTGTTATCGTTTATTCGTTGACCGTAACGACTGCTGACCGCGCGGCGACCGCTGCGCGTGCATGATGTTTTCGTAGAAAAGATGAATAGAAAGAAAACAGAGGATTCTTCTCATCTTTATAATGTAGAAAAGAAACAAAGAATTCTTCTCATCTTAAGCCACGGTCCAACTTGTCACTTTTTCGCAAGTTTAGAAGGCACGCGTCGCAGTCGCCACGCGGTCGGCAGTCCGTACGGTCAACGAATGAACGATACCTTATATTTGAAGCAGCTCTTTCATTAGATTCTCATATTTAAAAGCAGCGTTCAAGCAAATCTGGGCATATGGGGGATCTCACCTGGACAGTAATTTTGGGACCCTGTAAAAGACTTGCCCAACCGGCAGCTCAGATGCTGTTCTAACGGCTGAAATATTCGCTTCCAAACTGGACCCAGGATCTTATTTCGCATGGATTCATGGCACACCCAACAGTTTCGCGTGGGTCCTCTCGCGGAAGCATGCAAACACGATGCAAGTCGTCCGATAATACGATCCTGGGGTCCAGTTTAGAGGCATATATCTCCGCCGTTAGTGAGTCATTTGCGCTGCCGCTGGCCGTGTCTTAGTTGGGGCCACAAAATTACTTTCCACGTAAAATCCCCATAAGCCAAATTTGTTTGGAGCTGCCTTCAATGCGTAAAGGTTTTTGTCGTCAGAAGAAGCTTGCAGGCCTAGGAGGGTAGGTGGCCGAGATATGGTTTTTAGTGAAAACATAATCTTGTAAGAAAATCTCTACAATGCTCCCGCAGTTAAATCCTTCTAATGATGAGCGAGTAAGGGCACAACTGCTTAATATATGCTCTAATTTACTTTTGCTAAACGTGCTGCTTGAAGAATTTGATGTCGAGAATCAACGCTCTATATAAACGTTTTACAGCCAATAACATTCTGTGAATAGAGGCAATCGATGAGCCGAAAGTTGTAGGTGAGATTAAAGCAAAAGCTAGCAGAGTCCATACATCAGTAACTCTCCAGCGATCGCGGCATTCGTAATAATCTTGTATTTTGAATTGAGGTCATAAATGCATGTACAAAAGCGCAAAAAAGTCGGCCATTTTCATTTGTTCAAAAAATCTCTAGGTACTAAAGATTCTACGAATTTTTCAGTCAAGAAGTAATCTTCAAAAGCTCTGCTATCCACTATGGCTACTAGATGTGCCTACAAATTCATATAGGGGAGCAGCGCCCAAAGAAAAACAGCTCTAAAGAAAACGTTGCAAAATTTATGTACTGTTTTCTTTAGAATTTAGTTCTTCTGCAGTGACGTATTCGTAAAGAATATTACTGATAGCCAAAAACTTGCCTATCTAGAGTAACTGAATTTATTGGAAAAAGTTGATTTTGCAAGAAGCTGTGATATTTTGAACTTGAGAATTGCAAACGTTCAGAACTTATCAGCAGATTAATACAATTTAGGACCCACTGCGGAGGTAGATGTCGACATATATCTTTTTATTCGCAATTTTGTAGACATCTAAACGTATGTATGAGTGAGGCAATTCATGCGAACTGACGCACATGTAGAACGCTACATACGACTAAATGTCACAGAGCAGCGAAATATCTAAAAGGTAAATCCCACAGGCAGGTAATGAAACTGATTGAAGCATTGAATTCGAATTTACTTCGAATGAAGTGCAAAGATTTCTGTGCTATCAATACAATTGAGTCCCGCCGTTGACTAGCACATACTTGTAAATCCAGTGAGTCAGTTTGGAAGATTTGCAAGTGGAAGAATCTTTCTCAATTTTTTATCAGCGTGGACCTTTGTCTCATGCGGTGGTGGGTATGGGGGGTATGATATGGTCTGCATACTTCATGCAAAATGGCTGCCAAACTGACCAAGTTATGGGCCGAAGATTCGCGCACGCGCGAGGCGAGCGGCTATTTCCATATGAAATTTATGCGGGCAGCCGCGCTCGCTAGCAGCTTTGCTCATAATGATTTGGTAATCATCCAGCATTCGACTATAAAATTACAGCTTAAAACGGAAATGAACTTAGCTTCATTAAGAGTTCAGTTTTTGTAGCATGCGGTTTTCGCAAGCGAAAAAGCAGAGATTGGACGTTCTACTGAAATTTATGTCACTATTTTTGTTTTTATATTTTTATGACGCATGCTAGGCTCGCTAAGTAGCTCAAGTATTGGTAAGATTTTTTCTACGGATACTCTGACAGCAGTGGCGGAACGAGGAGAAGGGGGAAAGGGACGCGCGCCCCCCTCCCCCAAGAATGGGTCTCGAAATTTTTGAAATTTACTTAAATGGTTATAAAAATATGCAAGTGACTTGTTTGTTTCTGTAAACAATTAAAATAACTTTCAGAGTTTTTCAAAAATTCAAATTAGCCTTGTAAAAATTTCCTTTCGAGGCATGGCTGCCGCCACGCCTCCTTTTTCTGGATTTTAGGGGTTATGGACCCGTAAAAATTTTGGAAAGCACCCCAAAATTTTCTTTGGAGTGTGTGGCTAACGCCACGCACTTTCATTTGAAAAGCTTTTTTGCCGCTCCCCCCCCCCCCCCTCCCTTCCCCCTCCCCTCCCCCTTCCGCACGGAAGTCTGCGACCGCCACTGTTTGACAGCAATCAGAGGTTTCTTCGATGCCGCACTCAAATCTCTTAAAGTGTAAAGCACAGCCTCTTTCCCTTCTACATACTTTCGTAGAAGCAATTTTATAGAAAATGAAAGCTCCTCTTTGCAGGGATAGCAAGGCATGGAAGAGGTTGAGATGGAACGATAGTCAGTCCAAAATATGTTTTACATTGTGAACCAACAACTCAAATTTTGGAAGGCAAGAACTTCACTGTTCGTCTAGGAGATAAAGATATTCTTGTACACTCCTACTACAAGAAGCACACGCACACATATTTTTGAAACGTAGCAAAAAGCAGCGCAGTTGTAATAATAATCAATCTAATCGAAGGCCTGCAGCTCGCATTTTTTTCACGATCGATATTTTTTTAAGCACACATCCGGTGAAACTCATTTAAACCATGCACTTGTACCCAGCATAGAAATATTTTCGATTTACAAGCTATTGTTCCACAAGCTGAGCCCATCCAAATTACGTATTGCACAGCTTGTACAAAAGAAAGTCACGATTCATTGTAGATTTCAATTCTTCAAATCCCGGCAGAGCGTTTATTTGGGTTTTTCAAATTGAAAAATGATCAGCGCCGCAGCCGTAATGCCAGTGCTGATGAACGCATTCTCTGTAAGCTCTTTTTATCAAATAAACTCCTTGCATCAAAAGGAATTTCAGACTATATGGGAATATCCGTCGCAGCAGTGCCACAATAAAACCGTACATGGAGAAAAATACATAATAGATTTCAAGAAGTACAATATCACGACAAATACGAGTATGTGATATGTTACGTATAGCAGAGTCGCAAAATTGAAAAGATCCTTCTCGCTTTGAAGTGGTGAGAAGAATTAACACGAGGTATAAAAATTTGAAATCTTCATCATCGCTTCAAAGCTCCACACAGTAAGTCAGGATGTTTTTATTCTGCACACCGAATTATATTCTTGCTCAATTTACCACACTTATCTTTAGATTTCACATTTAATGGAGACAAAATTGTGATATTTTACGAAACAAGCTTTGGACTATACCCATACTTTATAAATTACAGTATGGAGCATCCGGTCAACGGCGGCATACCTCAGGTAATATACATTTGAAGAAACGACAGATTTCCATAGACTAGTGAGCATTTAGAACTGCAATTTGAAGGCACACCTGGAAAAGGCAAAGAAAGATATCAATAGGAGCATACCCGATAAAAATTTCAGTGGTTATGCCATAATCGATTTCGAAAAATGGCGCCCTCTGTTTTCCGAAAATGACTGGATGCAGAAAAGAGTAAGATTTGCGTCAGCACGTATTGCGAGGCGAATCCGCAGAACGGTATACTAAGTTATTTACTCAAGGTATTTCAAAACGAATCGATACGCAAGTATAGCGGAACTCCTAACGGAACGAACATAAGCGAAGCTGCCTATCATAGATTTTACAGGGAAGCTGAAAGCGATTTCAATAAACACGCAAAGTAAGATAGCTGGGACGGAAAGTTGATTGTGGATGTAAAATCAGTTAGAATAATAGCTTTTCAGACGATTTTTTCTTCAAACCATTAAATTGGGCAAACGTATGAGGAAAAATGCCAAGTGGGGATTTTATGGCTTTCCGTATTGCAATTATGACGCAGGGAATGGAACATATGAGTGTCAAGACAAATATAAGAAATGGAATGATGAGTATGCGATTTAAATTAGAATTTTCTAAGCCCCCATTTTGACGTTTGGTTTAATCAACGTTATCGAAAGTTTCTTGATAGAAATCAAACCGAACAAAGCGTTGAATCCAAAAGTTGAACCAATAAAAGTCAAATAAGTTGAAAGAAAATAAGTTTTCTACAATGCTTATCTTTTTTTTTTCAAAATAAAAATTTCAGGATGAACTTTATATTCAATGCAAGCCAAGCGTTGTTCCCGTCTGTATATCTAGGCAACAATATCAAAACGCAGAAGCCAAAACAGCGCTTTTTTTACGTGCAGGTAAGGTCGCAAAGTTCATCCATCACTTACTCACTTGCTTATCGTTGAATTCATACGATTCAGCAATATTCTTGTTGCCTAACTAGTTTTGGGTTTGCAGACTTCACGTATTCAGGGATAGTAATCTTTTTGTTGGCTTGTTCCGTTCCATGGTCTGTCCAGTTATAATTAACACCAGGGTCAAGCGTGGGGTGTGGCACGCCACACCTGTGGGAGGGTCGTATTGAGGAGTCAAAAGGGGAGGGGGTCATAGTTGGGTAATCTGATGATAGTGATAACATGATATTCGTATCATATCCATAATTAGCATGTCAATTAACCCCTGTAGACAAAGTTTGAGCGAATTCTGAAGGTTCAAGATACTAGGCTACCTAAGTGAAATGGTCATATTCCAACATGGTTAACTTTTTTTCACAGGTGAATTAGGTATCCGTTTTTGCATTGTCCAGCGTACAGGGGAAGAATGATCGGTCGAAGTGGCCATTTGGAATGAGCTGTATATTAGGAAACCGTCCTCGGTAAGGCAAACTCAAAACTATTTTTGCTAGGTGCCGAGCGGTTTTGTGGGGGGAGTTACAAGGCCATTTTCCTCCGGCGCAGCCGGCGCACCCAGTGAAGAGCGAGGCGCTAGAACAACGCAGTGGTGTGGCGTTGGCGCAGTGGCAAGAACTATGAAGCAGATGGGAGGGTTCGAGTCGTGTTGTTGCTGTTTGTTTTGCAGTTCTGTAAAAAGTCTATTGTTTGAGAGTAGACGAAAAAATACTTATTTTTAGGCAGTTGAAACAAGCTATTTACTGCAAAAAAGTCACTATTTCTACAATAAGCCATAATCTTCTACAATATGTAAATCTGTGGAGGTTATGATGTCACAACAATGGATTCAAATGATATATTAACATGTATGGAATACAACCACAAAATGCTCGAAGCAGAAGAGCTTCTCGCAGCGCGCGCACTTGCAATTGCAATCGATTCACATCCCATGTATTGGCTCTCGATCTGAACTTCACCTTGCATCATAGGGTTTCCATCCTTAAGATCTTATCGCTCATTTACACACAATTGCTCGCCGCGATGCAAAAATTTATTTTCATACCCATGGCATGCAGCCGGATACATTGACAAACACCCCGGCGAATTCGAGTCTCGTATTCAGTACTGTTTCACCGACTTTGTTAGGCAATTGTGAAGCTGCTGATTGTCATCGTTTATATTTTATCCCATGTGCGCGCTGCGAGAAGCTCTTCTATTTTGAGCATTTTGTTGTTGTATTCCATACATGTTGATATATCATTCAAATCCCTTGTTGTGACATCATAACCTCCACAGATTTACATATTGTAGAAGATTATGGCTTATTGTAAAAATAGTGACCTTTTTTGCAGTACATAGCTTGTTTCAACTGCCTAGAAATGAGTATTTTTCGTTTACTCTTACCCAATAGACTTTTTACAGAACTACAAAACAAAATAGCAACAACACGACTCGAACCCTCCCATCTGCTTCATAGTTCTTGCCACTGCGCCACCGCCACACCACTGCGTTGTTCTAGCGCCTCGCTCATCACTGGGTGCGCCGGCTGCGCCGGAGGAAAATGGCCTTGTAATTCCCCCCCCCCCCCCCAAAACCACTCGGCACCTAGCAAAAATAGTTTTGAGTTTGCCTTACCGAGGACGGTTTCCTAATATACAGCTCATTCCAAATGGCCTCTCGACCGATCATCCTTCCCTTGTACGATGGACAAAGAAGGAGTAGTGCTTTGTCTTGAGTGCAAAAACGGATAGCTAATTCACCTGTGAAAAAAAGTTAACCATGTTGGAATATGACCATTTCACTTGGGTAGCCTAGTGTTTTGAATCTTCAGAATTCGCTCAAACTTTGTCTACAGGGGTTAATTGACATGCATTATGGATATGTTGCCTATTATGTTTGACTGGGCCTTCAGGTAATGCTATCTTAGGTATATAATTCAGGGGGGGGGGGTCCTATTAAGACAGCAATCGGGGGGGGGGGGGTCGTAATCAGGGTCAAGCGTGGGGTGCGGCACGCCACACCTGGGGGGTCGTATTGAGGAGTCAAAAGGGGAGGGGGTCGTAGTTGGGTAATCTAATGATAGTGATAACATGATATTGGTATCCTATCCATAATTAGCATGTCAATTAACCCCTGTAGACAAAGTTTGAGCGAATTCCGAAGGTTCAAGATACTAGGCCACCTATGTGAAATGGTCAAATTCCAACATGGTTAACTTTGTTTCAAAGGTGAATCAGCTATCCGTTTTTGCACTCAAGACAAAGCACTGCTCTTTCTTTGTCCATCTGAGGAATCCCGCTTTAGAAGACCTCCAAACTGTGGAATTAGAAGCCAACCAAAATCTCGTTTTTCCCATTTTTCGCTTTTGGTCGCTGTGCTTTCACCAAATATTACTCAGAGCTAAGAAGACGAATCAGCCAAACAGTTCTATGGAATCTGCAAGGTTTAGGCTATCGATTCGTGTAAATACTGTCCGCTAAAGCTGTTTTTTTTTGATATAGTTAATGGGGTGCGGCACATCCCTTTAAAAACTGCGGCGGCCGCAGCTTCTAAGGGGGTGTGCCGCACCCTATTAACTATACCAAAAAAAACATTTTTAGCGGACAATGTTAATATGGATCGATAGCCTAAATCACCTAGTATTCACAGGAGTGATTTGAGGCTGATTCGTTTTCTTTGCTCTGAGTAATAGTTGGTGAAATCACAGCGACCAAAAGCGAAAAATGGGAAAAACGAGATTTTGGTTGGCTTCTAATTCCACAGTTTGGAGGTCTTCCGAAGCGGGATTCCTGAGATGGACAAAGAAGGAGTAGTGCTTTGTGTTGAGTGCAAACTGGATAGCTAGTTTACCTTTAAAACAAAATAAACCATGTTGGAATTTGACCATTTCACTTAGGTGGCCTAGTATCTTGAATCTTCAGGATTCGCTCACACTTTGTCTACAGGGGTTATTTGACATGCTAGTTATGGATATGTTGCCCATTATGTTTGACAGGGCCTTCAAATAATGCTATCTTAAGTGTATAGTTTAGGGGGGGGGTCTTTATTAAGACAGCAATCAGGGGGGGGGGGGGTCGTAACCAGCGATCGTGTGTCACACCCCTTGCTCAACCCTGGTCGTAACCAGCGATCATGTGCCACACCCCTTGCTTGACCCTGGTTACCAATTGAGCGCATGCGTCACTTTTAGTAAAGCGCTTTAGGATGTACCGTAAGCCCCATTCTTCTTGTCACGTGTAGGCTAAGTTTGTCTTTATGTCGTTATGCACTGTTTTGAGCCACAGAAAGAGATTTTTTTTCTGATCTACTAATGTACAAAAAGATGTTGAACGTGACAAACATAACTCAAATAACTTAGTCAAAGCTTGCATCTCTTGAATAGCTGTATGCAGGTTATCCTGCTTTATAACTGCATAGCAGAGCGCTGGAAGGTGCAAGCCCTGGCAAAACAGGGATTCATCGCGAGGCGATTTGTGCAATATGACAGCTGCCACATGCTCAAACCATGACGGCAAATCATGCATGTCGGTCGTGCTAGTCCTTCGACGCGACGGATCACCGTTCTGATCACCGTTCTTTCCTAGCCATACCAATTCCAGCGATATCGCCGCGATTGGCCTAAAGTCTAGCGATATCGCAGCGTCGATTTTAAATCAGCTGAAGTAGCTGCAGTGTTTTCCCTTTGAATTTCTTATGTATTTCTTTCTTCTTTTGTAGCTGTTGATGATTTCTGTATCATCAACCATTGATGAACTCTATATTCCATGTAGCCTACGGAATCCCCGTAGGCTAAATGATGAGCTACTCACTTTCGAGTATCTAATCATTCAAGAGTGGTTCCCGTGCGCCAGGAGTGTAGCCAATCGGCGGCATCTCCTTTCAAGCATCAACTCGTGTACATTGTACCCAGTACTCGGTTCAGCTTCGCCTTCCTTCATATATAAGGAGCCTCCGAATGTATTAGAGGTTCCTCTTCGGTCCACACTGGGACTCCTCGATATTCTGTCCAAATCACGTGCGAATAAACCTATTTCACAACTACTCCATCACTTGGTACACACCAAATTGGTGCATCGTCCAGTATCATTGCAATTTCTCAGCGACTCGTTTACCTAAGGGAATTCAAGGCCTAAGACCGCGTGGCAGACCTTCACATCTGAACCCTTCCAAGCACTCTTTTTGTAAGACGATCAGAATGGAAACTCTTGCTATAGAAAGTAGTGAAAGCCCCAGCTGTAAAAATTTTTCACTGGTTAATTGAACCTTTCTGAGCTCTCTTTCCATAAGATGACCAGGAAGTAGTAAAAGCCCGGTTGAAGAACTTCTCACCACTGATCAATTGAACCCTTCTGAGCTCTCTTTTCGTAAGACGATCAGAAGTTAGTAAAAACATCATTTGGTCAGACCAATACCACTGCAAATTGAACATCTCTGTGCTCTCTTTCCATAAGACGACCAGAGATCAGGAAAGGACCAGCTGGCAACAGCTAACAAGTTCGAAGTTCATTAAAAACTCGAGCTTCGGATTGCCATCAATCCTCAATTAAAGGTCCAATTCACATTACCGTCCAGTACGGGTTCCTTCATACTAAGCCTCAGGATGTGGCAGCCTGCCGCGTGCGCTGCGTGCGCCGCAGCACGCAGCGTACGCCGCTGCACTCACAGTGAAAATACGCACATGGCAGTACAATTTCGTTGTTTATCGATGTACCTCTAGATCTGCTGCACGTGTGTTCTTCGAGAGTATTTTTTTAGAGTTTGCAACCTTTTTCCTTTTACCTTTCCTCATCGTCGATCAAATGATTCTTCATTCAGGTTTTGATTTTGTGTGCGCTCTCGGTTCCACGAAACTTATCTTGCTCCACTTTGTTGTCATCAATGACTTTAGTGCGCTGCTTTGTTTATTTTTACTCATAAGGTACTAGATTTTTGTCTTTTCATCGAAGCCCTTACATCGAGCGATGTATTATAGGAAACTTTTAGCAACAACAAAATAATAGGGTCAGATTATGCATGATGCAGTTAGCCATGATGCAAACTGTGCAAAATCAAAAGTGACGGAGCACACGAATTCAAAATGAATGAAGAAACATTCGATTAATGATGAGACACGTAAGAAGAGAAAAAGGATAGTAAACTCTGAGGGAATACTCTCGAAGAACACGAAGGAGCATTAGATATAGAAATCGCTGATAGACAGCGTGTGCTGTTTCATGAGCGTATTCTCATTGCGACTGCTGCGGCGTACGCCGCAGGACGCGGCAGGCTGCGGCGTACGCAGCGTACATGGCGGGCTGCCGCGTCCTGCGGCATGAGTATGAGGGACCCTACAGCGTACAAGCCAGCCAGGCACGCTTGATGACAGCTAGTAGAAGCCCGGCACTCAGTTGCCAGCTCACCAAAAAGCTTCCCTGCCCCAGTAAGGACAGCTATCATATGAGGCCAGCTTTGCTGTCGTCCTCAAACATACTCTTCAACGAGATCGAAAAACTATCCACGGCCTCAGATGACCCGAAAGATTTCCCCTGACACCTTTGAGCAATCAAGTCAAGGATCATTCACCTGGAGCGAAAAGCAAAGTTGAACGCAGACAGAGTTTGGCGTCGAATAATCGTCTCCAAATTTCCCGAATCCATCTGTACGACCGCTATCCAAAACGAAGCGGTACAAGATGATCCATTTGATGTTCGCGAAATTCTGAACACCATTGACAGCATCATTTCATTACGAGAAACAATCTTGCTAACGACGGCAACTCTTTTTCCAACCGACTACTTCTCGAATAACCAAGAAAATGAAAAAATTATCAGATGCGAAGAAAAAGAACACTTCTCGAAACGAAAACGCTTGTGTTTATGCGGACAGCCACACTCGCCTTACAAGTGCCAGAAGTACATCACACCTGAAACTCGACGACTTGAAGCAACAAACTAAGGAGTGTGTTGGACATGTTTCGTAAGAAACCACACTCGGACGCTTGTACGAATATTGGAGTATGCCCTAAATGTAAGGGATATCGCACCATGGATCTCTTTGCTTGTCAGAAGTAAGACAACGTAGTGGATTTTCCGCGCACCGAGATTATGCACTCGAAAATCACCAACATTCACCTACTTCTTGGCCGCAACATGATACGAACCAGGATCGCAGCGAGATGAGTAATATGCAATCGTACAAGGCTTTCAGGCCAAACAAAAAGTCCACAATCCAGACGCATGTCCACTGGCACGCAGTCAATGTGTTTTGCAAATCGCTTGCCTTGATCTTCAACGAAGCACAGTGGGATTACTAACCAACGACCATACTCCTTGACTCCGGGGCACAACGAAGCTTCATCAGATCGGGATTCTGTAAAGAACTAAGGCTTCCAATCGTTCAAACTACTTCTTTCACTATATCAGGAATGGGTGAACACCAAGAGCACAATTTAACTCATCTGAAGTGCATGTCATTTTGAAGAGTCTTCACAGCTCCGAAAAGCTCACGAAATTGTCATTGCATACAAAGCAGAAGCTGACTACCGACATGCAGACGGCAAGTTTCACGGAAGCAGACTTGTGTTTCATCAACGACGAAAAGCTGGTAATTGCTCAGGATATGCTCTCCCACAAACGCCTTCTACCGGAGCTGATCACCAGGCAAGACCTCTCAAATCTTGACACCTTCGCAATAAGAGAGTGCTCAAGCTCCCCTCACGGCTCACTTTGACCCCAACAATCTTCGGATAGGTCATATCAAGGACGAGTAGCACCACCACTACAACAAGATCCGTTTGCACTTTCGGTTGCATATCAACGCTACAACAAACATCTCCGCCAACAAAACTACAACAGTTCCCTTGATCTAGAAGAACACAATCCAGAAAAACGAGACAAACACTTAAAGCTTCTATCTTTAGTGAAGCTCAAGAAGGCAGACAATGTTGGCTGACATAATCCGTTCCCTAACAAATTCCTCCGACGATTCTGCGATGATTTCAAATGAAATGAGTATCACATCGTTATCTGAGGAAAGCAGTGACAAGGATGACGAAAGCATCAGGGAGGACTTATCACAAAAGTTCACCCCTCATCGGAACGACGCTTACCGGAAAGATGATCGTCAGTAATGTTTTTACCAGCAATTTGAATAAAACGAGGAGAACAAGGCGACAACAACGAACAACACCGAAGCGCCATTCAGCTCCAGTAACCAAAAGCTTTTCCCATTGCTAATGATTGTAAACTATCCCAATTTTGTGTGAATGCCTTGATATTATTTGCAGCTCTTATTAATAATCATTACTCTGTTTACATAGCTGTTCACTAACTTACTATTCTCACATATGTATGCACTTACAAAGATCTTACCAGATCTTACTCTCGCGGTCGCCCGGAGTGTTGATGATTTCTGTATCATCAACCATTGATGAACTCTATATTCCATATAGACTACGGAATCCCCGTAGGCTGAATGAAGAGCTACTCACTCTCGAGTATCTAATCATTCAAGAGTGAGTGGCTCCCCTGCGCCAGGAGTGTAGCCAATCGGCGGCATTTCCTTTCAAGCATCAGCTCGTGTACATTGTACCCTGTACTCGGTTCAGCTTCGCCTTCCTTCGTATATAAGGAGCCTCCGAATGTATTAGAGGTTCCTCCTCGGTCCACACCGGGACTCCTCGATATTCTGTCCAGATCACGTGCGAATAAACCTATTCCGCAACTATTCGTCTACCCTATCAGTTGGTACACACTAAAGTAGCTGTTTTTTGCAGTTGTGTTTAAACTGATGCAAATTCCCTAGACTGTCACTTTTTTGTGTGGTGATGAGCTTTTGAATCGGTAATCAGTCGAAATGATTACTGGTTTTAAATTTTGTAACTGGTTCCTTAAAAACCCTTATCCGTGCGAAAACACAACTCGAACTGTGACTTGGCAACCTGCGTCCAATCAGAAAGTCACTAGAACGATAATCCTGCGAAGGTGCGAGAAACTAGTACGGAATCGATGACGTCGAACGTATCGGTATCAAAAAAGACAAGGAAACCTGTAAACGCAAAGATATTACGTATTTTATCTCTTGTAAGTACAACGCCAAAAGAAGCTGGAGTAATGTATCGGTAGAATGTGTGTTCGTGGTTGTACCTAATCGCTAACAGGATTAGCTCATGATCTCCTGAACTGTTCGCAGTGTCTGATTTGGCTCTGGAGCATCAGAGCCAAATCTGAGCTCGTAGGATGACCCTAGCGTCCTAATTTGCACGACATTGTAGCAATGCGGGTCTTCTCCATACCACTAATTGTGAGTAAAAAACATGCCGGCCGGGCAATCCCCTACTGCAGTCCTTTTTTTCTAGGAGATGCAAAATACACCATTCTGTTTCCAATGTCGTATTGGGGTTCAAAGCGACAAAACGGCCAAAGAATGCGAAGATGTGAAAATCAGGAATTTGGCGGCTACGTTATCAAAAGTCTGCAAGTCGTGTCCACTATACTCTTAGGAGTCGAAACCTCTGACCTTAACCACCATACGTAACATCGTCATATCGCCGTGTCTCAAAAAATGTACGGCAGTATGAGCATTTTCTTCCAGGAGTTTGTAACTTGAAAATGAATGAATAACAACTTTCAAACCAGCAGATGTATAAGATTTCGAACAATGTTTGTTACACTTATTTGTAAAACTTTGGAAAATTCCAGAAGCGCTAATCTTGAGATTTGCTAGATGTGTAGGACACTACAAAGCGTACGAATAAATAGCTAGCAAGTTTACGAAAACTTTGTAAACATACTCAAAATTGTCATTTCTTCTTTGATTTGTCTGTCATTATAATTTTTCTCCATTACTTTTTGAGACATATTTTCGCACTATCTCTTTTATGGCGGCACTTTGGTGCCATTAACATGTCAAAAACGAGATGAAAAATAAATAAGGGGCAAAAATTTTTCGGAAAATTCTCGGAAATGACTCTTGCAAGTTTCTAAAGATTGTTATTCATGTTTAAATGCGAATGTGTGCTGAGATGGCGCAACATATAGCTCATGTGATCGCGTGCATGATCGTGTCATTCCCTATATTCGCTCAAAACTATGGAGCATGCACCGATACTACATACATGGCGCGGTCTCTCCTTGATCACCCGAAAAAATGCCAGCCCGTTGACAAAAATGTTCATAAAACGTACTCCTACTGACAAGGTGGGCGTTTTGCGCACGAACCAGGTGTGAATACCGGTGGATAGATCTTGGCGCCCTGTCAACAATCCTTGAATATACAAATTCTTAAAGCTTTCTAGATTTTTGAGGAATTAAAATAAAAGTGTAGAAATTATCCGACAACCTGATAAATCATATTCAGGCTGTGATACAGGAAGCGAAGAGAATCTCAAAAAAACATAAAAACCTTCCGATTCTGGCCTATACCAAATTTGAATACGATCAGCTGAAGTCAATTGGAGACTTTTACAAAATGGTAAGAACACCATACTTTGCTACGTAATTTTTTCTAAATCCAATTTAGCACGATCTTTGTGCTGCTATTGCACAACCAGTATATCTTGGCATTGACGGATTGATTCTGTGGAGTAGCAGCAATAACATGAATGAGCGCTGCGAAGGAATCAAGAAAAAAGTAGACAGAATAGTCGGACCGTAAGCTACTCGATCAGTTCCTTGAATACTACTCATTCATTAGAATGCAGCATGATATTAGACGTCACTGCTTTATTCACGAATTGCTCACAAAAATTGTGTGGAGGTTTGGCTAAATGCATCAGGAAGGATTATAAAAAGCACTGGTAAGATAGTATTTCATTAATTCCACAGCTAGATTTTCACACTATTGAAGGTGCTTGAAACTCGAAGACACAAAGTGGAAGTTCATCTACAACGAGAGTGAATATTCATGCGAATGCAACGAAACTATAACTAAAGATTGCATCAGAATAGGGAGTAAACCACCAAAGAAGAACGTTTCGACTGACACTAAGCGCCCTGGACTTGTTGTTGCCGATGAAGGCTCACCATTGTCATCGCTATTACAAATGTTGAATGTATTTTTCAAACATTTTTTTTCACTATTAAAGTGAAAATATGTAGAATCCCGCTGGGAACCGCATATGAACAATTTACTGAGTCATTAATCAATCCATTCAACATCGATGACGGCGTGACATCGGTAATGATGAGGGTAAACCCTCGGTCCGTGTTCTAACTTTAAGTAATAGCAGCCGAAAAATCTGCTCATTCTGCTGCTAATTTTTTTTATCTTGTTGTAAGCTCAACACAAAGCTTTTTAACCGCATAGTCTTTCATATATTGATGCTTATTGAAGACAGCCAATCATTCCAATCACATGCATGCTCTTGATTTGACATTTCGCACTCGCATTCATGTTCAATGCACGATCATGACAGATCACAATTCGTGCCAAAATGAACTGAGAGAATTAGGCAAGGTACGTCAAATGCATGCAATTACTTCTCATATTTTCAAATGTTTTTATCTTCAGCACCATGCTTACTTGTCATGCTATTTCAACTATCATTATGTTTAGGCTATTGAACTTGTGTATACTCACAATGTGAAGTATTTCCGACCAAGGGAGTATAAAAGTCTTCACAAGTTTTTTTTATACACCATGTACTCTTCAACCTAGATAGTAGTTGTGATTCAGCCGCTGTGAGATTTCTGTGAAATGACAACTGTTAGACACTAATTGCGCGCCCACGTGTCCGCCAAGAAGGTTGTGATAGTCGTCCGGCGCGACGGACCACATTTTGATTAGGGCATAGTTTCCAGCGGTAATCGCCTTGATTTCGGCTAATTCAGCGATGTCGCGTCGCGCGTGCTGCACCTGCGACTGAGATGCTAAGGAGATCTTGAATTCTCTGCTCCAGCTGTTTTCGTTCTGAGAAAAAGGAAATCTGATCTAAAATCAGTTGTACAGAATGACATTTTGAATATTTCTGAACTGATCCGTTGTTCGAGGCGGTTTTTTGTGGCTGATGAACGTTGGCGGTTGTTTTTTGCAACTCTACGCTGGGATATTCTCGTTTCGCCATCCGTAAAGTACAAAATGCAATAATTAGCACGGAACTGTACTGTGCAGTACTGTGCTCAATTCCTTTTTCCCCCAGTCAAGGTAAGTTTTTGCTAAGCGCTGCAAAACCCCACGTAATCTTTCGATCCGCCAAAAAAAACGAAGAATGTCTTATTGTTAGTTTTGCAAAGGTTCGTAGGTGAGAATTGCAAGCCCTGATTGTTGCAAAATGGACAATCTGTGGAACCACATACTGATCACTGCGGAAAACGCGCAACTTGATAAGACGCTTGTCCCAACAAACTTGCCGAATGGCGTACATGTCGTGCTCCGTGCTCTCGCAACATTTCAGCCGCGCCGCGCTGGTCCGTAACGTTTGAGCAGCTCGTGCGCTCAACGAATCAACGATACTTGTGTGTCACCCCATTTGCATAAGCAGAGCTATTAGGTTGGCGGCAAAGTAATGGGACAGTTATTTCTCTACATTCAAGATTTTTTGTTTCGATCAACAATGAGCAGGCTGCAATTTAAACTTCACTTACATAAGCGATCTTCGCCTTCGTTTCACACGCTACCGCTCCTCTCTCACAACCTTGGCGCGGTGCCTTGAAGAAGAATGGACTAGATTTTCTTAACATCTTTCAGTCTTGACTCGCTGTACGTAAAGTCATGATCAAATGGCATACCGTCCAAAAGAGCTTTTCAAGTTCTCTCGAACGATTCACCGAGTATTCGGAAGTTGTCTTTGTTTCTGGGTAGAAAAAGGCAAAAAATTTGAAAATTTGAAAATTTTTGACTTTTTGGCACAACAACAGGACAAAAAATCGTATTTTAGCCTATATTTCCGAAAACGTACAAAGGTTGAGGTGAACTGCATATGGGTGGATAAGAGCATAAAGAGCTCTACTGGATGGTTACCAGAAACCTGCTTGCGGAGAAGTAGTTAATAAGTGTCTCCGTTCTCGAAACGGCTAACACTTCTATGCCTGAGCAAAAAGGCTGACTTCAACGAACTGTCGTAATTGGACGACTGTTCCTTCATCTATTGCTGCAGTGGTGCTCTCGATGGTCTACGTGCTTGACTGCGCAGATACTCCTCGAAGTTCATAATTTGTCGAAGTGACTGATTTCGCATTTTAGCAAGTTCAAAAACTATTAGACATGCAAATGCCCTTATATAGATATCGACTGAATGAGAATAGTATGTTTAACACCTGCCAAAATTAGAATTCTAATGCTTCCTTTTCTCAAGAAATCTGCAGTTGTTCACCAAGTGTTCCGTTACTTTTAGACCACCTTAGTAATGTAAGAGTGAAGTAACACCCCAGAAAGCGAATTCAGTTGGCGCAGTTCAGTTTGCACCTAATTGCATTTCCTACATGTAATGCCGCTTAATACAGGGTGTCCCAAAAAAATGTGAACACTGTTTGATCGTTAATAACTCCGTTGCTTTTATGTCTTTCGCCGAGCTTGAAGCACCATTCTGTAGAGCGAGGTTCAACTTAGATTTGCGGCATGGAGCGAAGCACCGATCGCTCTTCATTACTGTAGGATTACCGTATGAACTTCTGGCATGTGGATCTATCGAGAAATATGCCATTCGACAAAATTTTTTTTCAAAAAATCTAAAAATTCGTGTACCAGGGTTTTCGCGCACGCTGATTCCATAACGCACGTTTTTACGAGTGTTTTTAGCTTCTTTGACGGTGTAATCACATTTTTGACAAATGCTAGAAATTCGGTAATTAAGGTTTACCTGGGATAACCTTAAAAGGAAGCGTCACAGTAAAGTGGTAATTTCATATTCGAAATTAGCTGCTTCCATTACCCATGTATAAAAGTTTTTGGCCTGTTTGGTTTTGTTCCGAGGCAGAATGTGGCTTTCAACGGCTTAAAATCCTTGTCAAAGTTCCTACCGTAATCCTACAGTAATGAAGAGCGATCGACGACTCGCTCCATACTGTAGATCTAAGTTAGGCCTCGCTCTATAGAATGGTGTTTCAAACTCGGCGGAAGACATAAAAGCAAGGGAGTTATTGGCGATCAAACAGTGTTTACATTTTTTGGGACACTCTGTATTTCCATGTTCTTATGATGAAACTTGTCGTCGCGATTTCGTCGCCCAAATCAATAGTGATGAAATTGCGACGACGTCGTGTGCCCTATGCCCGTTGCCTTTCGTAGCTTAACGTTCACGGAAGGAGACATGAACATCTAACAAGAGAGGGACATGAAGTCGAAGTAGCCGACCCCTACAATCTTTGTACCATTAGTGAGAGCTTGGAACGCTGACTCAAAATCTGACCTTTTGCAGAGCACCTTCGGGAAGGAAGTTCTGCGCATTTTCTGAATCGAAAAAATGAGTTGATGTTCGAGATGAAATCAATCGCTACAGGTTTTCTAAACGTTAAGTGGAGTTAGCAGTTACTGTTATACTAGACAGAAGGAGTTTATCGTACCAGGTATAATATATATCACTGCTTCATTTGAAGTCTAGAGAGGCGAGCGACTAATCTATTCCAACTAATTTTTTTCGCCTCAAAGAAATTCTCATAATTCCTTTGAACGCTCTGCAGATAAGGAAAGAATCTTTGAAATCAGCGCTGAAAGCAAACCTGATTCGCGGCCAAAATTTATTTATGACTTCTTTCCAGTCTTTCTGACAAGTTTCGTTTCTCAGCATCTGCAGAGATACAATACCACCCGTAATTTATGAAAAAAATTGGCGGCGGCACTTAACTCACGCGGCGGCGCCGCAGTTCGGTGGCAAGCGCCGCGTCGCGCGACAAAGTTAGGCGGAAAAGCGGCACTTGCCGCCTAACTTTGTCGCGCGCCTAACTTTTTTATAAAAAAGACCTTATCTTGATTCAAAATTTATGAGTTCTATATATAAGAGTACCATTCAACTCAGCTCGGCGAGGCGCATCTTCCAGTATACAGATGTGCCTAGTTGTGAGATATAGGTTTTTTCCTGGAATTTTAGTGTAAATGGATCATTCAGTGTGCTGATTCCAGAGGCTACATACACATTTTGTTGAGCACTGCAGAAATAGGGCAGGTATAGTTTAAGAGCTCATCCTGCATGGATATGTGTGAAACTGGGATTTTCTCGGCGACTTATGATGGGTCCCAAAACGCAGGAAGACAAAGGGAAATGGTTGGAAATCGCATGAGAAGCACATATCGCGAAATGTCGCGCGTGCTGTGCAATGCACAATACCACCCACAGAACGGGATTGCGAAATTCCAGAAATTTCGCGATTCCGGAATATCGCAAATTATGCAGCGCCATAACTTCCTTCGGAATGAATATATTCTAAATACGAAAGCCGCATTGTGTTCAGCTCGTCAAGGCGAATCTTTCGACATACGTCATGTCATCTATATCTTGTTTCCAGTTTTCTCAAATTTGTCTGAGGAAGTCCCTTTGCAAGTATGTAACGCAGCGCCTATCCAACATGCAGTAAGCACCATTCGATAGTGCTCTTCCTGTACATTATAGTGCGTTAGAAAGCTGCCGCAGACTTCTTTTCAAAAGAGAGAAAAGCGTTGGTAAATTCTGGAAAAATCATTCGTTTCCAGATTCTACTCGCCGTAACTTTCTTTGAAGAAGTGGATATTTTCTGAGTACGAAAAATGCATTGTGCCCAGCTCATCAAGGCAAATCTTTCGGCATGCAGAATGTCCTTGATATTTCGACTTCAGTATTCTTAAAACTTTCTGCGGACGTCTCTTCGCAAAGATGTGAAGCAGCGCGTATTGCCCCAGTAGATTCAGAAAGAGATTTTCGATAGTACTTCTTTTGTAGATAATGGGCGCTAGAAATTAGCCGCACACTTCTTTCCAAAGGAGTTAGAAGGGCCGGTGAATTCTGGAAAAATCATGTCGTTCTAAATTTTTCCCAACGTAACTCTAAAATATGAAGCTCTCTTGCTAAGCAGATGTGATTTTCGTAATCAGCAGGTCGATAACCCTTATGAGCAAGTTTTCCAAGATGTTCGAGTAATTTCATTTTTTCTCGTTTTACGCTCTGAAGCTGGCGGATGGATTTTGGTCAAAATGTTCATGCTCTTAATTTGTAAGGAAACTTCGCTTATAGAGATTTTCGAACACGCTCTTTACGAAAATCAAGGTCCTTGAAAATTACAGGGTCTTTTTGGTGAGATACGGTG